CTCTTCAAAGTAAATAAAAGCACAAACCTTGCACAACTAGAGTTGCAAAACTCTTCTCTTGTCCAGCCTCATTTGATACCTGACAGGTGTACCTTCCACTATAACTAGCCTCTGAGACTGCAATTCTTAGAGAGGCTACATTGCCCTCAAACTTCCTTTCAATATTAGCATCCTCTATAATCCAGTCCTCATCTTTTTGCCACTGGACAGTCAGTGGAGGTGATCCCGCCACAACACAGTGAAATTCAGCTATTTTTCCCAGGACAATGGCAATATTTTCAATCTTCTTCACAAATGATGGTGGCTCTGACATTTCATAATGAAAAAATAAAGTTCAATATTTTTAACAATGACAAAGAATCCATTATTTTTCTATAATAATAGGAAACTAACCTTTCATAGACAGCACAGTGGTGCAGGAACACCTTCCAACTTCATTTGCCACAGTGCACTGATATTCACCAACATCTAATGCTTCACATTTGAATATTTCCAAGATCACAAAATCATTACACTGTGAAACTATATGTCTTTTGTTAGAAATTATTTCCTTAGCATCCTTTTTCCAAGTCACCTCAAACGGAGATGTGCCTGTCACTTGGCATGTAAGAGAGACATCATAGCCAATTACAAATTCAAGAGGTGTTAATTCCTTTATAAAGGCCGGGGGCTCTGGAATAAAATTATAATAATAATTAAAACCATTATTGATTTTATAAAAGAAAGAATATTATTAACAATCTAAAAGGGTACTAGATACAGTATACTGCATATTAATAGTAAATATGTTCCAACTACTGCACAAATCTAAACTATATGTACTGACCTTTCACTTTCAACTCCATACTGCAACTCTCACTGCCAGCTTCATTACGTGCCTCACAGAAATACACTCCACTGTCTTTTATATCGGCATTGAATATCTCCAGGATAACCAAGGAGTTATCAAAGGACATCTTAAACTTCTCACTGGGACTAATCTCATTTCCATCTCTAAACCAGGTAATATATATTTCAGGAGTGCCAACTACTTGGCAGTCAAATTTCTTAGTTTCTCCAAGTTTAATCACAGCGGTGCTCTCAGGCTTTTGGGTAAATTTTGGAGGCTCTGAAATCAACACATAAGTATTTCAATAAGCTTACAAGGCATATAAAACATACAAATAACAATATGATAAAGTAAAAATGAACCTTTTACGAAGAGTGATGCTTTACAAACTTCAGAGCCAATATCATTACTGATTTCACAAAAGTAGTCCCCAGAGTCTGATGTCTTTGCAAAAAAGAGTTCCAGTAAACTTGAGCAATTATCCTTCTGAACAGAACAATGTGAGCTGGATAAAATTTCCTTATTGTCTTTAAACCACTTGATGGTCAATGGGGTAGTGCCACTAAAAAATACACTGAACTGTACTTTTGTTCCAGGCAAGACATCCATTGACTCGGGCTTTTTGATAATACTTGGAGGTTCTAATAGTGAGCAAAACCAAAACAGATTATTTAAGAAGTATTCATTCAGCATACATGCTGTGAACAAAATGTGTTATACTAAAGGATTACTACAAATATATTCAATTCTTTTCTACACACCTTTGACAAGCAATGCACCAGAGCACTGGTCACTCCCAGCTTGGTTATTGGCAATGCAGGTGTAACTGCCAGTATCAGAACTATCAAGACGGCTGATCTCCAAAAATGCTGTGTTTTCAAAGAATGTGCATTTGTGCTTGTCATCAGTCTCAATTTCTCTATTATCTTTGTACCAGGACACAATTATTGGAAGGGAACCAGAAACAAGGCATTCCAGATGGGCGAATGACCCCTTAATGCTGTCTACTGCTTTCAGCTTCCTTGTAAAAGATGGTTTGATTATGTGATCTGCACAAAATAAAGGAAGATGCTTTTAGGAAAGATGTCTTAGCTATGGCTTTGTAATACATATACTGTATAAGACACTGTACCAATTTTCCAATATACCGACCCAAAACTGTAATCACAGCTTCACAAGTGCTGCTACCAACATCATTGGAGATCTCAAAGGTGTATTCTCCACCATCACTTTTGTCAGCAGAGAGAATCTTTAAAGCAGAGTGTTTGTCTGTGCTGTGAACCTTGTATTTTTGCCCTGATTTCAACTCCCTCCCATCCTTTAACCACCGGGCTTTAAGGGTTTTAGTTCCTGAAAAGCTGCACTCCAGTGTGGCTGGATCCCCAGCTGTAACACTGATTGATTTGGCCTTTTCGATAATATTAGCTGGTTCTAGGGGCAAAATGCAATATTTTAAAAACCAACAAAAATGCAATTTATACTCATACAAACTCAAAACACTCAAAACAAAATAACTAATTAAATGGTTAAATAACACTCGCAACAAACCTTTAACAACCAATGAGGCAGAACATTTCTGACTTCCAGCTTCATTCTTTGCCAGACATATATATTTTCCATCATGTTTTAGCTGCATATTTGTAATATGCAGCTTTCCAGTTTGATCCTCAAACGAAATTTTAATATTTTCATCTTCTTTCACCTCACGATCATCTTTTATCCATGAAACAGTGATTGGTAAGGACCCTTTCACAACACACTGCATAGTGACTTCATGGCCTACAACTGAACTCACGTTCTCTATCTTCTGAATAAAAGATGGAGGTTCTAGTACAAGAAAAATAAAACAATGATATTGATATATGTCCAATATGATCGAAAGAAACATATTTCCCAAAGATGTAAAATCTAAACTTCATCTACTAACCTTTCAGACTCACTTGACAATCACAGGAAGTCCTCCCTACTTCATTTGTAACAATGCACTGATATATCCCAGCATCTCCAACTTCACATTTTAAAATATGCAGGCTAACAGTATCATTATGTAAGCTGATCTTATGTGTTTTATCATTTCTCACAATTTTACTCTCTCTATACCAAGTAAACTCAAATGGAGATGAGCCTGAAATTATTCCTTCCAATATGACATCAGACCCTTTTACAATTTCCTTTGATTCAATAGCCTTCACAAAAGTAGGTGGTTCTAAAGCAAAAAAGACAAAATATCCATAATGATTAATTTGAATATCAGTGAATTATAAAAACTACTAAAATGATCCTCAGGGATATTTTACAGACCTTTCACTGTAATTACACTGTTGCATCGGTCACTACCAGCTTCACTTGATGCTTCACAAACGTAATCCCCACTATTATCAACAGAGCAGTTGGCAATCTGCAGAGTAGCTACTGAGTTACTGAAGGCCATTTGATATTTGTCATCAGAACTAATTTCAGCCTCATTCTTGAACCACTTGATACTGATGGTAGGGCTACCGATTACTCTGCATTCGAGGATCACTGCACTTCCACATGTTACCAGTTTAGCACTCTCAGGTGTCATTACAAACTTTGGTGGTTCTAAAAAAATAATTAAAAAATCATAGTCACAAAAAGCCAATACATTTTGCAATAAACAAAAAACATATAAAAAAAAAACAAAAGACACAGAAATATGAGCAACAAAGGCAGAAACCAGGTAAAAGAAAGAAAGCACCTTTCACAAATAAGACGCCGGTGCAAGTCACTTTCCCGGCGTCATTGGCCACTAGGCAAGTGTAATTGTCTGAATCAGTGGGTTTCACTGAATGGAGTTCAATGAAACTTGAAGTTGACTCTTTCTTGATGAAACATGAGCCTCCGGTAAACATTTCTTTCTCCCCTTTAAACCACTTAATGGTAAAAGGGGATGTACCAGTAAAAGCACTCTGTAAGACCACAGTGGATCCTGGAATTACCTCCTGGGAATCAGGTTTCATTATAAAGACGGGAGGCTCTGTTTTTATTGGAAGAGAAAATAATAACAGTATTCAATATATTTTATTATATACAGTAGTTTAAATACTTTTAAAAGTTTTTGAAAAATTATTAAACACTAAAAAAGAGGGCATTAGTGTTTTTCAAACCTTTAACAAATAAAGCTCCACTGTTTTCTTTGCTTCCAGCTGTATTTGTTGCACGACAAGTATATAATCCAGCCTCAGTCTGTTGTAATTCAAAGATATCCAAAGTAGCAGTGTTTTCCTTGTAACTCATTTCATACTTTGCACTGGCTTTGATTTCAATCTCATCTTTGTACCATGAAATAGTCATGGGCTGCGACCCAGAAACCTTGCATTCCATGTGGACATTGGTGCCAACATTCCCATCAGTCTTTTTAAGATTTTTTATGAAGGAAGGTGGAATAATACGATCTGTTCAACAAGAAGAAAATTAAGTACCTTCACAACACCACAAATCTATGACCAAATAATTCAAGGAGATATTAACAAGTTAATGAGATCCAGAACCAACCCAGGACAGTGACAGAACATGTGCACTGGTCTTTTCCAACACGATTTGCCACTTCCAAGGTGTATTCACAGCTGTCTCCTTTTTCTGCCGTAAGAATTTTCAAAATGGCCACGTTATCCTTAAAAGTCATCTTGTACTTCCGACTGGCTGTCACTTCCTTCCCGTCTCGGAACCACTTCACTTTGAGTTCTGGGCTTCCAGACAGAGTACACTCTAAACTTACTGGTTCTCCTGCAGTCACACTAATGGATTCTGTTTTATCCACAATTCTCGCTGGTTCTAAAATGGAATTAAGTAGCTTTAGACTTGACATAATAAGACTGTGCATAAAATGTGCTGCAAGTTTAAAAATATCAACAAACCTTGAACAGACACAGTAGCTTCACACTGCTGTTTGCCAGCATCGTTTTCTGCCTGGCAAATGTATTTGCCACTATGGTTTATGTTTACAGTCTTGATAGCCAGAACTGCAACATTATTCTCAAATGTCATTATTACATTAGGATCATCATCAGTTAAAATATCAGAATCCCTCATCCATTTGACTGTGATTGGAGATGAACCTTTAAGAGTTCCCTGAAGTCTAACAGAATTTCCCAAAATAGCTGAAGTATTTTCTATCTTCTTGGAGAATGATGGGGGTTCTAGATATAAAAGAACAGCATTTCTTAATATGCATATAGAGAATGCAAATACATATTCATACATGAAAATCTTTGATAGCTGAACCTTACTAACCTTTTAATTTACCAGTTGATTTGCAGGAGACTTTACCAACATCATTTGACACAAAACACTGATAATCCCCAATATCTACACTTTCAAATGAATAAATCTCCAAAATCACTTTAGAATAATTAGAGATTATGTTATGCTTTTTGTCAGAAGAAATTGGTTTCTTATTTTTGCACCAGGTCACCTCAAATGGAGCTGTGCCAGTTACTTCACATTCAAATACAGCTGTAGTTCCCTTAACTACTTCTACCATCTGCAATTCTTTTTTGAAGAAAGGAGGTTCTGAGAAACAAAAAAGACAACTCAGTTGCATCCACATTTGATTTAAAGATTCTTTTAAATCAAAATGAGAATTAGTGTTGCTACACACCTTTTACAGTTAAAATAGTGCTGCAGCTTTCACAGCCAGCATCATTTAACACTTCACATGTGTAATTTCCACTATCTGTCACAATAAGATTTAAGATCTCTAGGACTGCTTGGCCATCCTTGAAGCTCATCTTGTGTTTCTCTCCGGGGCTGATTTCTTTGTCATTCATGAACCATGTTACATGTAGCTCTGGCGAGCCTTTAACAGTGCATTGCATTCGCCCCGTTATGCCCTGTTTCCAAAGGATTTTGGGTTCCAGTCTCTTAAGAAAGGTTGGGGACTCTAACAAGAAGTATTAGAAAATGGTCATAATGCAATACTCAGTCATTTTCAGTTAAGAAATCATGATCCAGTGTCGAGAAATGAAAATAGTGATAAAAGATGAGACTAAAATAGTCAGATCAACATATATAAAAGATGGTAAGAGGCAGCATAAGAAGCATCAATATTTATTTATTTTCTATTACTATATCACTATACCTAACGTTTCACACATCAGAGATTTAAGAGTTAATCTCCGGTTGTGCAGATCTGCTGCTTCACAAATACTGCACAAACACGGAAAATTAACTTTCAGTCTTACCTTGAACGCTTACTGTGGAAGAGCAGCTATCACTGCCAGCATCATTTGCAGCTGTACAGCTGTATTTCCCACTGTCTTTAAGCTTCGTATTAGGAATTTCAAGAGTGGCAACTTTGTCCTCAAAAGTAATTTTAAGATCCATGGAGTGATGCAGCTTCTTGCCATCCCTAGTCCAGGTGATGACCACTCCAGTATCTTCATCTACCTGACACTCAAGTCGCAATGGCTTCCCCAGAGCTACTGATGTTGACGTAAAGGTCTTTACAAAATTAGGCTTGTCAATTACCCTTAGTTCTGTGCCACATATGTCAGTTCCAACAACATTTGAGGCTTTACATTGGTAAGTCCCTTGATCAGAGACAGCAAGTTTCACTATTTCAAGAGTGTGTCGGTTCTTGTCAGCAGAAATTTGGTAGTTTCCTCCCGAAGAAATAGCAACATTGTCTTTTTGCCAAAGAGTATTCATTGGAGATGAACCAGTAACTACACACTGAATTCTTGCTTGTTTTCCCACATATGAAGTCACCGGATCTGGCTTAGTAATAAAGACTGGTGGGAAAACTTCTACAAAAATTACAAAAAATATATATATTAAATATACCGGCTACATACAATACAAGGGCATAACATGTTAAGAAACAGATTACATAACTACACTGTTAAAGGTTGCCAGATACAGCACCAGCAACCAAATTCATATTCCAGTAAATAATAATAACCACTCATATTCAATAACAATCACTGAAACAAATAAAACACCATTCATTCCACTTACCAGCTACATTCAGAGAAGCTGAACAGCTATCACTGCCATATTTGTTTGTAGCTTTGCAGGTGTATTCACCACTGTCGGCTTTAGTTGGATTCAAAAGCTCCATGGATGAGGACAGGTGATGGCTGATGATCCTGCACTTGTCACTCTCTCTCATCTCACTGCCAGACTTGAACCACTTGAATTTTACATTGGGTGCCTCTTCAGTCTCACATTCAAATCTGGCGCGACTGCCGACACTGATCTCCAAAGGTTGGATTTTGTGCCGAAAAACAGGTGGTACTGTGTTGCAGAAGATGGGCGATTGGGAAGAAAAGGGGAAAGAAAACCAAATTAGCACAACTGTCAATGATTCTTTTAAATTACATTTAATGGGGAGATGATCAGCTGGATCAATGATGATAGGATGGCAAACACTAGTAATCCAGGAAGTGACTGAAAAGAAATGGTGGAAAGGTTAAAAGGAAGAGAGCATCAAGGCAGTTTTTGAGTGAAATCCATGGGGTAAAGTGATGTCCAAAAAACATGCAGAGTTTGTGGTGGTACACAATGCAAGAGATGGAAGATGAAACATTTAAAGCGGTGATTTTTCAAGAAAAAAAAATAAAGTGAATGGTGGAAAATTAATTTCTGAAGTTTATTTTTGACAGATATGGGGATGATACTGGAGTAAATCTTATTGATCATTAGTGATTAAAACTGAGGTAAGGTCAACACTATACATACTTAATATACATGTGAAAAACCATTTCAGCAAAAAAAAGAGTATTTGAAAAGTGAACCAAAGATTGGGTTTTTTTTAATGGAGATTCGAGAAATGTAATAGTTAGTAATAATGTGGTATTTAATATTTTAATGCTGGAAATAATTAGTTTTATAAAAAAAATTGTCAGGCTTATCCATGATATCCAACCTCTTAAGAATACTGTGAGTTTTGATGATGTTGAGCTCTTGCCAGCCTTGTTCACAGCTTCACAGACATATTCTCCTTGGTGCTTCTCCTTGATAACCTTGTCAATTACTAGTGTGTAATTATCATGGTCCTTATAACACTTGAACTCTTTGCCAGATTTAACCAATTGTCCATTGAAATACCAGTTGACATTTGTAACAGATGTTACAATCACAGTGAAACTGACCATACTATGCTCCTCTACTTCAGTGTTCTCTAGAAATGTTTCTATAACTGGAAAGTCTTTTGTAATTCTTCCTGTGACTTCAGCTACAACAGTTTCTTTCAAAATCTCTGCACTATATTCTTGTACAACATCCGATTGGTCTACCGGTATTTTTGGCAATGAAACATCAGTGGAATGACGTGCTGTCCCAACATCTTTGTGGTCGCCTCTTGTAGTTAAAGCTTCAGTTTTCTGCCTTGTGATCTCCATAGATTTCTTACATTCAACTTTTGATTCAGCTTTCATCTCTCTCTTTGATGTGATGTCATGTGATTCATGAAGCACAGTATGATCTTCAGTTTTGATAGTTTCAAAAGAAGCATGAGATTCAACCTTCAGTGCAGCAGACTGGGGTTTAGCTGCAGAAAAGTCTCCAACCATTTCAGAAAATCCAACAGTTTCTATCAAAGAAGACAGCATTTCTTTAGAAGATGTGCTGCTGACCCTCAGTCTTAGTGGCTTATCTATCTCCTTTATTCCAGGCTCTTCAGAGGTCAGGACTGGTTTATCATGATAGATCATAGAGTATAAAGTTGATTGAAGCTCATTTCTTAGATCAGCAGTCTGGGGGTAATCACCATCAAATGCAACAGTAATTTCCAAAGGTGTGCTGCTTGTTGTGATAAGGTATGTGAACATTGCATATTTGGGTGCTTTGAGCATTTTAACTTCCTTTACCTCTACAACTTCCAAACTATTCACAACTTCGGCTAACAGCAATGGCTTTTCACATGCTACTGCAGACTGCAATGCATGTTTTAGCTGATGCTTTATGTCCAAGCTGAATGATTTTGAAGTAGGAATAATAAAGGTAAGCTCTTTTGGTAATACTGTACTTTCCTGGGTCTCATGCACGGTAAGCACTTCTTTGGACTGTTTTATACTGCAAGCTTTGTTTGTCTCTGATTTATTTATTTCTTGAGATACTTCTCCAATTATTACTTGTGTCTCTGCCATTATTACAGATTTTCTAACTGACTGCCCTTCCTGAATTTTGACAGCAAAATCTTGTTCGGCAGCTTCCAAAGCAACACTACGTTCGGTTGAGATTGCTTTCTCCTCTATGTTAACTGGTTCGCAAGGAATACAAGGCTCAACCTTTGCTTCACAGCTAAATTTCTCTACTACATTCAAAGTATTTGTGTGTCCCTCCTGTAAAGTTTGACTGTCTTCTGTGGTCATTAGGTGCATTAAGGCCCACTGATCCTCTTTCTGAACTAATGCACGCTGCTGTTTCACAACTGTGGTGAATGGGGTCTCCTTGGGCAGTTCCACTGGCTTTGAAATCACCTGGAGAATATTTTGAGGCTTTGGTTCTGTTTTAAGTACAGAGCAAACCCCAGTTATTGACCCATCAATGTTTGTAGAATAGTCTGCTGTTAGCTTCCTTTTCTCTTCAATGCTTACTGCTTGTCTACGGACTCTCTCCTGTTTCGATAATGAAATTTGTTCCTCAGGCTTTTCAACTGTAAGTATTTCCTCTTTAGCTAAAACACACTCTGGGTGAACAGACTGAAGATGTAAAGGAGTAAGAGATTCTTTTGTAGGCTGAATGGAATATTGAATTTCCTTTGAAGAAAACTGTGATGACTGATCATAAGTAATTGACTTCTGTTCACTAGTAGTAATTGTATGCAACAGGGTAGGCTGTTTTATAATATCTGTTTGTTCAGCTGTTGGTTTCTCACAAATAATTCTGCCATCGGAGGGTAATGTACACTGGTCTCTTATAACTTGTAAATGCATGATTTCTCTTTTTTCCTTTTGAGACTGCATAGAAAGCGCCTTTTCTAAATCTGGCATTTGAGTCATTTGTTCATCTTGGAGAATCTGCTTTTCTTCAGACATCAAACTTGACTTAAGAATGGCATCTTTACAATGCACTGCTTTTTCTTCTGCTGGTCTCTGTATGTCAAAATCATCTTCTTTTGATAAAAAAAACTTTGTTTCAGTAACAGATGCTAGAACTGGCTTGAACATTTCTTTTACAACTGAAGACGGAATGGAAGCTTCAAAAGTGGACCATTCTGTAGAGTGTGCTTCAGACAATTTCTGCTTCTCTGTGGCTAAAGCAGAATATAATATTTTTACACCTTCTTTGACTCGGTAGCTTTGTTCAAACTCTGGCCTTGAAATCATTTCAGATTTTTCATCCACAATGGGTAACCTGGTTTCCACTTGATGACTGCTAACAACTTGTTTTGGCTCAGGAGCTGATTGTATCTGTTCTCCTCTTCTATCACCTGACAGCTCTGTCCTTACACTACTTAAGGTGGTAATTTCATCAGTAACAGCTGACATTATTTTTGAATGTTGTTCTTGAGCCATTTCTAGTTGTATAACCTCAGGACTTTGAATGCGATCTGACTGCTGTTCTGTGAAACCTTGATTCTCCTGCACTTCAGAGGTGACAGAGGCCATATGAAGCTGCCTCACAGGAGCCACTATAGATGGAGTAGGTTTGGAAGCCACAATTAATCTCTTTTCTTCTTTGTGAGATTGTAGCACTTCAACTTGGCGGGTGACCTTCTCCCTCTTTTGAAAAAGCATGTGTTCCTCGTCATGGGTTATAATCTTGGTAACAACAAGTTCTGCACTGCAAGAGGTATACCCAGAGGGATTTGATGCCTGGCATGTATACAAGCCACTATCTTCCACCTGTAGATCCTTTAAGTTCAAGAAGCCAGAACCGTCTGGGTTGTTCAACATTATGCAATGGTCACTGGGAAGAATTTGATAACTACCTTTAAACCATGTGACCTCTGGACGTGGGTTGCCAGTTACTTTATAATAAAAATATGTTTGGCCTCCCTCAGTGCTTTTTACATTCTCTATTGCCATGTCGAACCAAGGGGGATGTCCCATTACTTTAAAAGATTTCTCTACATGATGTCCAATTTCAGTCTTTTCTTTATCTTTCACATACAAAAATGTTGTACATGTTGACTGACCGAATTTGTTGGTGGCGGTACAAGAGTACTGGCCTGCATATTTTGCCTTTACTTGGGTGATTATTAAAGTATACTCATCTTTCTCTTCAAAAAGCTTGTAAACTGATGAAGACGTGATCATTAGCCCATTGTGAAACCATTCAACTTTTGGCTTTGGAAAGCCTGAAACTTCTACTGTGAACTTGACCATCTCATTAACATTAACATTTGCAGCTGACATTTGGGTCACAAAAAATGGCCTTTCGTTTTTCTTTTCTAACATGTAAGAATATCGTTTGGACTCTGGCTTGAGTTCAAGTGTTTTTGTTTTGTCTAACTGATGGGAAGTGCTGTAGGTTTCTTGCCCGTCTTCTTCAGTAGTCACAGTCAAGCTAGAAAATTCTGTGTAAAAATAATAAAGATAAAATTTTACTCAAAATACCCATGCATTAAAAAGATAATACTGGATGGATGACTGATGATGAATATTCTCCATAACATTTTAAGAAGATGACAAGATGTTTATGCACAACTGACACATCCCTAAATTCCTTGCTCTGGATTATGTCATTATTGCAAGAGTCTTCATTATTCTATCTATGGCAAGCAGACCACCCCGCCTGCCCCATACTGCAACTGATATATTTATCTAACATACATCAAATATGAAAGAGACAGGGGCATTTTTCCATTCCTTTATTAATTCAGGGATCCATATTAACATCACAGACACAAAAAAATGTTCACTGTAAATCTTATGTACAAACAATGCATTTTTCTAGGTTTAATTTAAATATTCTATTTTTCAAAATACATGTGCTATCTAGCCTCTATTGCTTAGGAAGCCCAAACACATCTCAATACATTCCAAACACCTGTTTCCAAGAATGTTCTGAAGCAAAGATATTTTACTTATCTACTGTAATAATTATATGGTATTTTAAATTCACAAGATATATTTACATTATTCTCAATTAGAGTATTTTTGAAGTTTATTTATAAAATTGTACAACTATATAGCATGTTTTAATGTTAAATTAAAGCAGGTAAATATCAGGTAGTTCCAAATAAACAGAATGGGTAAGAGTTGAAGTAAATTTTAAGTATGTAATACAATTTTGGTAAAATTTCCCTCCATAATAGCCATTACAAGTAGAACTGCAGAATACAATAAGTATTCAATGGGGTTTGAAATTATATATTGTCATACCCAATACCAAAAGAATTTTCATCAAAGAACAAAGCTTAAATTGTAAACGCTCATATTAGACAGCCAGCCATATTTAATACTTTCAGAAATAAAATAAAAAACCATATGGCTTCAAATAATTAACTAAATCATGTTGCTAAATACAATGTAAAATATCCAGCGTTCTGACATTTTTATCATGCAAATACGAATAACTGTGTACAGTCCAGCTTGATTAACCTTGTCTATGAAAACCCTTTTTAAAATTTCCAGTTCTTTAGTTTCACACCATTATCCACAAGTCTGCTCTTCTGTCACTATAGTATTTATGAAGTAAAGAATCCCTAATATATCTAATGTATGCCAAATGTACTCAGTTCACAGAATAATGTTAAATGAAGTTACAACATATCTTTTTCTATTAACTGGAGAATGGGGTTCACTGCTACTGCAATTTCTTCTTGTGCTGTTGATACACCAAATCGTGTGCACAATCTCTGTACCACAATCTTAATTCTCCATACAACAAATTTATATTTTATAAATATCAAAATACTTTCAATACAGAAGTTGTCTCAGTAAATCCTGCTTTATTACGAATAACGCATTTAAATTCACCAGCATCACTTTGGTTAACATTTGTTATAATCAAATTAAAGTGCCCTGGTGCTTTCTCTTGTATTATGTACCTGCTTGTTTTAATTGGTATACCATCTTTATACCACTCTGCTGTGGGTTGTGGTTTTCCATTAACTAAACACTGAAGCAACACTGGAGTTCCCAAAGCTGCAGTCACATTTTCCAACGGAATTACACACTTTGGGGGACTTTCAGTAATTTGAAACTGAAAACTGCAAGAGTCTGATGTTTTAGCCTTGAATTCTACCTGATCATCTTTGGCTGGCTCTGCAAAAACATCTAAGTTAATGCTGACATATTTCTCTCCTTGCTCGCTTATCCCATTGTTAGCCATTGCAATAAGTCTGACAGCTTTCTGTGACTCATCAGGATCTTGATCAAACTCAAATTCAAGCTCTATTTCTGAAGCTTGCTCACCTTCCACTAATGAATTTCCAACAACTAAATCAAATTTTTGTGGCTGCAATTTAGCACTTCCAAGGGACACTGCAGTCAACTCTCTTCCTCTTGCCTTTCCTGTAAACATTTGTGGACTTAACACAAGCAGTGTGGCTCTACAAATTGTTTCACCTACAACATTTATAGCTCTGCAAGCATATATCCCACTATCACGACTGTTTACTTTCAGTATCTTCAGAAAATGGTTGTCGCCTTCAGAAAAAGAAACATATCTCTTGCTATCAAGAGGGATTCTCCGGTCTCCTTTAAACCATGACACTGTTGGTGAAGGAATTCCCATCAAAGAACACTCAAACATTATATTGCAATTTTCAGGGGTCTCCACATCACAGATTGGATTTATAAAGCGTGGAGGCATTTCTGTAACCTCAAAAGCTATTTTTAAATCATCATTTTCCTGTGAAATAAAATCTACAGTGTTCTCCTCATACATACTTGGTAGTACATCTAAGGAGATAATCATACCTTTATTATCAGCTGTGTACTCAGGGATAGTTACAATTTTAACCTGTTTTTCAAATTCCTTTACTTCATTCTCATCCAGCTCTACCTCTAGTAGGATCTCCTGAGGAGAAGGGGACCTTGATGAGTCATTATCCTCAACATCAAACTGTATAACATGTTGATGAGTAACAGTAGGAGGAGCTGGCATGAACTTGGCTTCCTGAGATGCAACCATTACAAGAGCAACACTTTTTGCTTCACCCACATAATTAATAGCCTCACAGATGTACTCTCCTTGATCAGCTTTAGTTACATTTTTAATTTCTAAAGTTATATTGTCCCCATCTCTCTTTATTTTAATCCTTTCATCTGCAACTAGTTGGGTTTTATTTCGAAACCATTTCACATTTGGAGAAGGCAACCCAAAAACCTCAGCAAGAAATATTAACACCTCACCTTCAAAAACTCTTTTTTTAGTAAGTGGTTTCAGGAATGCTGGAGGAATTCCCTGGACTTTTTCCTGAAGAGTTCCCAGACCAAGTGAACTTTGTCCCTCAGGAATGATAATACCTTCATCCAAACTAAAGGTGAGAGGAGTTGTTTCAATGCCTTCATCCTCAGGGGATCTTAGAAATTTTGCTGGTGAAAGGAATCTTTCACCAGAGTCAGTACTTTTAAGGTCAACTGGAGAAACTGGATATTCCTGAGGAGTAATAAAGCCCCATGAAGTATCAGATGGAGTCTGGAAAGATTCAGGCGATTTTGGAAATTGAGCATTCTCTGTTGAGGACACTGGAGTATAGTATTGTTCAATATCTGCCATTTCATCACTAAATGTACTGCCTATTTCAAAAGACATTTCAGATTCTGGAGACAATGGTCTCCCGCTTTCAGATGGTGGATTATAATAGTCATATACAGCACTGAAGGTAACCTCTTCTACTTCAAGCGAGTGGATACTAGCACCAGAAGGGTCTAACCTCTTTCCTGCCATTGCTACTGCTTTAGAAACTGGTTTCTGTTGCGGACCTTCTGATACAAGATAATCGGTTAACGAAAACGTTTGATTTCTTGCAGCTATTTCAGAAGCTGGACTTGATACCCCTGATATCAAAACTTTACTCTTTATCTCAAAGTCTGCACATTTTTGTCCTTCCTGTCCTTCAATATCTAGTCCAGATCTGTCTGTGGGCTCAGGTTTATTATCTTTCAGTTTATCGTTACCAATAAAGGAAACAGGGTATTCACCTGTAGGATCAGATTCTCCCTCATATGCTTGTGCCACCGGGCTTGCAAACGATAAGCTTTGCTTTGGTTTTACTATAACTTCAGGTGATGCTGACTTGACACTCAGTTCTGAAGACTGCTCAGAGATCTTGTCTTGAGCTGTCTCAGGATGATCAAGACTAGTGGTAAATTTTACAAATGCTCCCTCAATACCTTTCCCAATTTTTTCTTCTGCTGCACATTTCGTAATTACGTTATCCTCCCTTTCTTGTGTATTTTTAAGTGAGATAGGTACTAATGCCTCGGGTCTAACAAGCTTGGGTGAGTGCTGAACCTCTTTCACGCATGACAGCGAAACAAAATGACAACCATCAGTATGAGTCTCCACAATATCCCTTGTATCCTTTTCTTGTTGCGCAATGTTTTCATAAGGTTTTTTCACATTTTGTAACAATCCTAAGTCAGCCTGTTCTGGATTAATTACGACTTTGGGAAAATTCTCCTTGGGGAAATATGAATCAAACAATTCACTTCTTGGAGATGAAACAGCTAATTCTGGCAAAGCAGATGACTCAAATGCCTGCTTTATTTCTGAGACTCTAACAGTTGCACCTGAAGACTGCAATCCACAACCAGTTATTGCAGGAATAGTTCTGGAAAGAACCTTTGCTGTTTGTGCTTGAACTGCTGCCTCTTCATCAGCATAACCCTTATATGTATGATTTGTTTTCTGCAATGGAGTCATATCCTTAATTGAGATTAAATTACTTTCAGATGATTCAGGGCGCCAATCTCTTAATTCTTTATCTTCAGTTAGTTTTGTGGTTCCTTTTGTTGTTTCATGTACTTCAGGAGATACGTCATAAATATTACACTGAGAACTCAGTTCTGGTGAGTTGATTGGTGAAATGGTACTTTCCACAGAAGTGTCAAATGACACATCAGATATGCTTTCAATCTGTCCCAACTTATTCTTGGCAACTAATTTATATGTCCCTACATCTAAGTATGAGAAGTCATTAATGTATAGTCTGTATAATTTGTCTTGAGATTCAAATCTGTATTTTGTGACGGCAGTGTTTAAACATACATCATCATGAAACCATGTTATTGTAGGGCATGGATCTCCCATTAGAATGCACTCTAGTATGGCCGTCTGACCCTCTGGACAGCTAATATTCTCTAGTTCTCTGATTACCTGAGGGGCTTCTGCAGAAACGTCAAAGGAAAATGTAAATTTATGTTTTGTGCTTTGTAAAACCCTATCACTGGTTGAGTTACCTGGGCATTTTTCAGTGGGTACAAATGATTCTCTGATATCCTCATTAAATTCTGGGAGTGGTGTTGGTGCAGTAATCCTAATCTCCACAGGGGAAGAATGAAGAGATGATTCTAAGGTGCCTGGTCTATGAAAAACAGTTTGTGGAACCTGCAACATGGACTTCTCTAACTTTGATTCTGTGTATGTTTCGAGTTCCTCTTCAATCATTCTTTCAAGACTATCTTTATCCATCTTGGATGTTACTTTAATTTCCTTCGAATATTTTGGATCTTTTTTGGACTGCTCACTATCAATTATTATGAGCGCAGCTGAGCTTATTGCTTTTCCATACTTATTAGATACACTACACGAAAAAATGCCCTGATGGTATATAGTAGGATAGTAAATCGTTAGCTTTGACTCAGTTGCTTTGGTGCGTATATCGTAATCTGAATCTTGTAGAAGAGGACAATTATCTTTGTACCAAGTTACATTAAGCTGTGGGTCTCCCTTGAAGTGACATACAAATTCACTCATCTGACCTTTCTTCACTTCCAAAGTAATCAATTGCTTTACAAACACTGGGGCATACTTTTTAGATGACAGATTAACTTGTTCATGAGACATTTCAGCAGCTCCTCCCTTTAAAGTTGTAATGCCCTTATCATCAGTTAAATCACACTCCAAAAGAGAAGCGCCTTTATAAATCAATTTACTATGATTCCACTCTCCAGTGTGGTCTGTCATAGTTTGATCTTCTTGCAATAAACATTCATTCTTACTTTTATTAATACTTTCTTGAGATACTGAAAAGGCATATTTGGCATCTCTAGGTACGATGCTTTCTTTTACTTCTGAACAAACAAGAGGTGATTTTTGCCATTTTTCCTCATCAGCAAAATCCTCTGTTTCCTTTGTTTTACATTGGAACTGTTCTGTTACAATCCAATCAGATTCAAGTTCAACAGCTTCTTCCTGTTCTACCAGAAAGTCTTGTTGCCACTTCATCATTCGTTGAGATTGAGCTTCTTCTTCGCTTACAAAAAACACATTCTCTTTCTTTGCATTTTCACACAACATGGTTTCATTACCAATTATCTGTTGAGAATATTCTACTTCATGGCCCTCAGGAAAATGCTCAAAAACAACTTTTTCTTTTACTTTTTCAACTTGTTCAAATAATTCTTGATGTGGTTTTATAGGTTTAATGCTGTTTTTGGACTCTTTATTTTCAGTCAGCTGAGGTGTATATTCTGCACCAACCCAATCAGAATCAAGTTCAATAGCATCTTCCTGTTCAATCATAACATCTTGTTGCCATTTCATAATTCGTTGAGTAAGAGCTTCTTCTTCACTAACAAAGTGTGTGCTTTCAATTTCCCTTTCACAAAGGTTCTCTCGTGACAAATGATGTTCATAAACACCCTGTCTTGATGGCATCTCTTTTACAACTTTTGTTGTCTTGGACCTTGAGGATCTTCTAATTGAGGGCTCACAGATTTCTGCACTTGATTCTTTATCTGTTGCCTTCTTTGAAATATGTCCATCAGACTTCAAATATAGTGAATCTTTCTCTTCTGTCCATTCAGGCTCCAAATCTACAGCTTCTTGTTCAAACTGCATGCCCTTCTGCCATTTCCGTTTGTGTAAAGTTAAATATTTATCTCCTCTTCCCGATGTTTCACTTTTAAAGTTTCTCTCATAAATGTTTTCCCCTGAAATGGCTTTATACTCAGACGTTCCCCTACTTTTGATAATCTCTTCTTCATCCATAAAGCCTTCTTTTATTGACTTAGACCCTTGGACTTCCTTAGCTACAATTTCCTCATTCTGTCGTTCTAATTCTCTAGTATTACCCATTACAGTTGTAATAGACAGTTGGGGTTTCTTAATCTCAGATAAAGCCAATTCGTTATCACACTCCCGATGAAAACTTTCTTCAGTCTTAATATGCACATTTTCATGAGAAACCACATGATCATCATCTGCTAGGTATTCATGTTCCATCTTCATTCCTTGTTCATTGCTTTTGACAGCTCCTTGGTGTACTTCTTGCAGGTCAAATGTTTGTCCATCATCCTTCACTTTGATATCCTCAGTTAAAAGTTCTCCCTTCATCATTTGTATGACTCGAGATCTGGACTGTGGTTCAAATGTATGTCTCACCCGTGGTGTTTCCAGCTCTCCACTCTGTTTGATTTGAGCTGAAGTCCTTGTAAGGTTATGTTCACCATAATCACCTGGTTTGATAATTTGTTGAGTTTCAGACAATAAGCCTCCCTTACCTCTTAAGCGTTCAACATATTCTGCATAGCTGGACTCACTTGCAACAGATTCTAAGTCAAATTCTGATGATGACATTGTGGAGATGGAGAGACGCTTTTTTCTTTTCACAGCTTTTTGCAGTATACTAAGCTTGGCTTTTACCTCTCCATGGAGACTTTCTGTGTCACTAAACCGGTCACTGAACCTGTCGCTGAACTTATCACTAAATCTATCACTGTATCTGTCACGACCAGTAAATCTGTCACAGTATATGTCACTGAATCGGTCATTAAATCTGTCATATTTTTCAAACATAGGAGCAGGAGAACGTGCTCGCTCAGATGCAGTTTCAAGTGTTGCTTTGTCTAGAGTTCTAGATGAAGATGATGTTCTGAAATACACAGTACGCATTAATGTATTCCTAGATTGAGTTCGCCCTCTGAAAGCCTTTGACTTTTTATCAAAAGGAGAGCCAACACACCTAAGGTCAACCCTGAACTTCATCTCTCTCCTTTGCTCAACCAATGATTCAGTGCTTTCATGAGTACTTTCTGACCGTCTCAAGAAACTTAAAAAATTGGCATCTTGCTCTTCCCTTAATGATACAAGAAGTGAGGCTGTTGACTCTGCAGATCCCTCTGTGTTAATAGCCATTACTCTGTAGCTGCCCGAATCTTTTTCTTTAATGCTGTCAATAACTAAACTGGAAGTATACACATGCATATTGCTTTCATTATGTACCCTACGGCGAAATTCTTTCTGAATTGGTCTATTATTGTGAAACCACAGAACCGTTGGGGACGGCCAAGCTACTAATTCACAGCTAAATATAGCAGGATCCCCTTCTAAAACAGACTGGAATTTAATCTTTTTAGTGAAAGATGGCTTAATATTTTCAGTGGATAAATTTACAGATGATGTTTGACTCAAGCAATAATCAGCAGAATTAAGACTGTGGTATAAGGAGTCATCTGTGCCTGATAAGGTTCCTTGTCGTTGTCTTCTCGTATTCACATTTTCAACCACCCCTTCATTTAAAAATAATTCTGTAAAATAAAAAGAAAAATTACTCAATAAATTGTTTGTTCAGAAAAAAAGAAAATGAAAACGTATTTAAAATGGAAAATTAATAAAATATTAAACACATGCAACAAGTTTCAAAGCCATGAAAAAACAGTGTCACTCACCATATTTGTTCGAATAAACGCAAGACTTGATTCTTTTTTTAAGATTCTGACACGAAAATTGCTTGATGTTTTTGTTCCTTCTTCAAACCGTGGACATTTCTTCAAAGAGTACGTTTCTTAGAGAGCATTAATCTTCCCAAAATAAACTGATGCGTTTAGAACACAAAATTTTCCTCTGTGATTCAGAGTATGCTAAAATATTCCTTACCTGACTTGCAGAAAGATGAATAAACGCCCTTTCTAATCCTTTGAATGGGAGTAAGTTGTTCAGACATTTGAAAGACATTTCTTGCCAATGAAGAATAAAATGTATATAAATGAATGAACTGTAGAAATGTATGAGAAGGCGTTTATTCGAACTAATATAGTTTATCATGTTATTTAAAAAAGCAAACAACATTAATCACATACAACTATCTGCAAGCCAGTCTAAGAAATATTTGCAGGGAAAAGAAATTTTAAATGCAAAAAAAAAAAAGAAAATAAAAGATGCGGCTGTTTGTATATCTTTTAAAGAGAATTTCCTGTAGTCTGGAAACTTTAAAAGATACAGCAACATTTTTCTTCAAATAATAACCTCCACGCTTTAAGATAAGAATAGACAGATGCAACCAACAGATTGCACTTTTTCAAGAAATTTGAATGCAATTCTTATTAGTGTTCTGTACATAGATAGATATTGAACAAGGCCAAAGATTTTTTTAAAAAGAAAGGTACACTCAACACTTTACAATTGCTTGCATGCTGTATGCCAATAATAAAGTCAAAATGAGTCATTTGTAACACATATAAATACTAGCTCTGCCCATTTAATCAAGTAAAAATAATGAGGATTAATCCTACCTTTGATTTCCTCTTCAATCTTAACTTCAATCTCTTCTTTCACTTTTGTCACTAAAAAGAATCAGGCAATGTTCTTAAATTAAATATTCACATTCCATGATTTGCTTTCAACATAAAAATAATCTGATGCTTGCTTTTCCATTTGAAAATTCTTTCTTTGCAACAAAAATACAACACACAAAATCAAGTCCTCTTTTAAATAATATTCAATAAGCCAGAATTATAAAATGGGATGTTATAAAAATGCAGGGGTTTCAAAGACATTCAGTAGAAGATGAATCCTATTTAAATAATGGTATCAGACTCTTCTGATTTTTCAGAAGGCCCCAGTCTATTTACAGTCCAGGTTTGCTCCTCTGTAAAGACCTTTCAAGCTGAGAATTGAAAATCCTGATATAAATAATTAAAATATATAATCATAAATTTACTGAATTGTCATCATATATATAAACCCCATTATAAATAAATGTGTGTGTGTGCACACGTGTATAAATAAAATGACAAATGCAACACAGGCGTATATGGTGATGCATTACATTAACTGCACCTTCATAATACTTTTATATTGCATTCATAAAACGTTCAGTGCACCTTCACAATGTATTCATTAAGTATTCATAAGACATCCATAAACATCATAAACAAGTGAAGTACCTTACATATATATATATATATATATACACACACACACACACACACACATATATATATAAATGTGTGTGTGTGTGTGTGTGCGTTACATTTTGTTTTACAAAGTTAGGAAAGTGTTGTTTAAGGTTTAAAGACTGGTACTGGATTGGTACTCTGTGTTGGCCGATACCCAAAGCCCAGGTATCGGTATTCGTATCAGGACAGTAAAAGTGCGATTGGTGCATCCCTAGAAAAAGTACAGAAATAGTGAAAACAAAAACAACAAAATCAGATATTTATAGAGATGAGAATTGCGGCACTGTGAGGGTGCTCTGAAGGGATTCCTTGATTGGAATTATTTTCAAAATGTTTGTGCTTTCAGTGTCTGTGTCAGCAATTAACACAAGCCCCTAACTATAACCTCTGAAGTGTTAAGATGTACGAGTGAAACACTTCAAAGTCTCATGATTTAAATAAACAAATTACAAAATCAACAAAATTTACAAGGAAGGAATTTAAAAACATTAAAAAATACCAGGCAACAAAATAAAACGTACCAAAAAGAAGAGATTAAATTAAGAGAAGATTAATATACCACATGCAAATTATTTTAGAAGAAAAACACAAACTTTACCTTCATTGGTTATATAAAGGGTAGCACTGCAAACTGTATCTCCAGCATGATTGGTTGCTTTGCAAATATATTGCCCAGCATGCTCAAGAAAGGCATCAACTATAATTAGTGTGGCAATGTTTGTCATTTCATCAAAATGAAAGACAACATTTTTAGTTGGTTTTATTAGCTGCTGATTGTGGAACCAGCTGATATCTGGTGCTGGTATTCCACATACACAAGCATGGAATCTGGCAACTTCCCCATGATGTACTATGCAGTTTACTATAGGCTGAATGAATGTGGGTTTTTGAACAAAACGCTCCATTTTTACACAAGTTGATGCATGCCACTCAGACTTGGCTGTACTCTCCTCAGTTTTGTTTTGCCCTGGAAGGAAGTATGTCACTGTTCAAATATAACTTTTTGCTTCATTGCAGTATCATAAATACATTTTCCATAATTTGTTTGCATGTGTTTTCAGATATGCTTGTTCAAAATTCAGAAGAATTCAATGGAATCTCAAAAGAATCATACAATACATGCTATTATGCAATCATAAGCAAGACAAGTGCATCAGAAAACAAACTTTTAACCCATCTGCTAATCGAAACTGCAGCACAATCAGTACAGAGTTTGTCATGCTTTTAAGCAATTAAAAACTCACCAACAACAGATAAGACTGCAGAGCACGATACCATTCCAGCTGGGTTTCTCGCCACACAAGTGTACTCTCCCTTATCCTCAAGGAAAACTCGAGTAATCTCCAACTGACACTTATCATCAAACTGAGACATTCTGAAGATGTCAGATTGTGTGATCTCCTTGTCTTTGCAGTACCAGGCAATCTGTAATTCTAAAGAGAAATCAAAGAGCTTTACATGCTAGACTACACACAGTAGCTACAGTAGCCAATAATCATAATTCCTGTACTGAAAAGCTAATAAACTGAAACAAGTGAAGTACCTTCTCCAGTGACACGACACTGAAAGTGAGCAGACTCTCCTTCATTGGCAGTGGTGTTGTAAATTGGAGAAATGATAACAGGGGGGGACAGTGGAGCTCCAGTATCAGGGGAAATCACTTCAGGAACTAAAAGAAGAGATAGATTTCATTACTAGTCACACAAATACAAAAACAAAATCATATAATTAATTTGGCACAAATATCCAACATAAATGATTTTTTAAAATTCATCCAAGCAATGGAAACGCCTACCTTCTACATTTAGAGTAGCAGTGCTGGTAGCCTCTCCACACTCATTTTTGGCCTCACAATTGTAAACAGCTGCATCTTCTGGGAAGGCCTCAATGAGGAGGAGTGTGTACTCATTGCCTTCTTGCAAGAATTTGCACTTGAATCCAGAAGACAGGACCTGAGAGTTCTTGTACCAAAACACCTGTGGCTGAGGGTTGCCTGTCACCACCACGGAGAAACGGGCTGGTTTTCCGGCTTCAACAGACAGAGGCTCCATATGCTGAATAATCTGTGGAGGCTCAGGAACTGAATCAAAGAGAATATATTCATATATTAATGGAATATTGTTTCTGCCCAGAAAGGCAGACAAATAGTCCAAGAGTCACATATAAGGACAACCAAAATTTTACTATAATCTTAAATATTGAATTTTTAATATGAATGAATCATATAAGGGATAAACCACCACCAAGGTGTGCAGTTATACAAAAATAATCAACAACAACTTGATGTAATGCGCTAAACAACATGGAGTTGATTATTTCCGTATAACCGTACACCTCAAAGTATTTTATCCCACATACACCGCAGCTAAAAATAATAATAATAATAATAATAATGATAATAGAAAAATAATAACTGAATAAACTAGTCAGTTAATTTTTTTCAGAAGAACATTACTTCTATTTGCATTTAATAATGTTCCAGTGTGCTCTTAAACATATAGTCCCTATAAGGACATAAAACCTGGTCAGACCGCTCACTGGAAGCAGCAAGTGTGTACATACTTCAGGTTGCTGTTTACAGAGGATGCCACATACTTTTTTTCTAACGTGTTTAATGTGAAAAGAGCAGTTTCCAGCTCACTGGAGGACCAGTGCTTGAAAAAAGAAAATTATTTTATAAAGATGTAAAAAGTTCAGTATGTTTAGAAACTGTTCTCAGCATTCAGGGAAGAGGTATTCAGTAAAAGTTTGCGCAGTTATGCTTATTTGTAGTTTGATTTATACGCGCACACACACACACACACACACACAGACGTGGGCAAATTTGTTGGTACCCTTAAGGCTCATTGAAACAATGCTTCATTTCTCTTGAAAAGTGATTCAACTAAAAGCAATTGTTTAATGTATACCTGCATGACTTCATAGAGTAAACCAATAAAATTGTGAAAAGAAATTATTTGTTGTTTATATTACAAACATATTCTAAAATAGTATGGACAGATTTGTTAGTACCCCTTGCATTATAGTCATGTTTCAAATTAAGTGTTTAACCTTGACCTCAGTATCTCAGGTGCCTTCAAGCTTTCTATCAGATATTCAGCCTATTTAAGAGGAAAGAACATGCTACTGTGTTGTTTGGTATCATTATGTGCAATACTGAACATGGACCAGAGAAAGCAAAGGAGAGAGCTGTCTGAGGAGCTCAGAAAGAAGATTATAGATAACCATGTTAAAGGTAAAGGCTATAAGACCATCTTCAAGCAGCTTCATGTTCCTGTGACCACAGCTGCCAATATTATTAAAAAGGTTAAGGTTCTTGGGACTGTAGCAAACTTCCCAACATCAAAAGCAAAGTGTGATTTGTGTTAAACATGGAATAAACTATTAAACTTTTGTCAAACTTTTTTCAAGTTATTTCAGAGATAGCTGTGTTTTTTTGTTTTTTGTGGAATGGTACCAACTAATTTGTCCACGTCTGTATATATATACCCACACACACTAAGTCATCATTATGAGATACTAAGTCATAATTACCCCCAATACCCCTAACCCCCAATGTAACCTATACTCCTGCTTCATATACACAGCTCGCACCTCATATTCCATATGCAGTTTTCCGGCTGTATTATCATTTTAACAAAAGCAAGCCAGGAAGATTGTAACCACTGACTTTTAATGTCCAGTACACAGGACTCAAATTGTAAGAATGAACGGTGTGTTTGGCTGTCTGTGCATGGCTGCTTTTTGTTAAATAGACATTACAGCCATAAAATATCAAATATGAGGTGTGAGCTGTGTAAATGAAGCAATGTGATTAGTCTAAGTTATCTCATAATTTCGTATCTTGTAATTATGACATTTCAACTTCATATTAATAATTACAGTGGAGACTGCTTATAGTGATCACGGTTATAGTGATCAACTGTTTACATGGATCAAAAAGCTTGGGACAGACTCATTCCTGTACAAATACTATTTAAATAGTTCGGTTATAGTAATCAAGTAATCCGCTTTCATTTTGGGTCTTTTTAAACATGACATCATATGAGAAAAAAAAGTAAAACTGCAGTATTTTTTTTTTTTCTGTACTCTGCCCTATTTTGCCTTGCGGTAACGGCTGCTTCTAGCTAGATACCTGAGGCTCATGTGCCGTGCATAGAAAACTTAATGGGGAAAAAGTTATTTTCTATCAATTACAGATGTAGACTTATCAAAGCTTACGATAAACCACCAAAAACAAGCCAACAAGATGCAGCAACGAAACTACAATAAGTGCTTTGAGACAATGTAACATTGTGAAAATGTGCTGTATAAAAAAAATTGAATTGAACTGAATATTATATACAGTACTATACTGTATTATTGTGTATTTGAATTATACACAGTTGAGTGATTTCATTTGTACAGTACTGGAATTTGAAGAGTGTTTGGAACAGCTGCACTGTACTCATCAATAAAATTGTCAATAAAATTAAATAAATAGCAATGCTGGTTTTATTACTCTATATTCATGTAATAAATATACAAATGTCAATTAGATGGTAATCTGCCTGAGGCATAGAAAAAAAAGAAATAAAAAAAACAATGATCATCCCCTTATAGTGATTACTATAAGCAGTTTCCACTGTATAACTGTGTTCCACTGTATAAGTATTTCATAATTTCGACTTTGCATCTTGTAATAATGACTTTCTCATCATTTTGACTTAGAATCTCATAATTTCGACTTAGCATCTCATAATTTCAACTTAGTATCTCATAATTTTGACTTAGTCTCTCATAATTATGATTTAGTATCTGAACTATTTTTTATGTAGTGGACAATGGACTTCTGCATTTATTAGTAAAACATCACATACCTTAAACACTTTTGAAATATTAAATTAGTGTATATTAATGTAAAACTATTATTAGGCTGCCAGAACTACCTGTGTGATTATACCATAATAATCAACACCCAAATGCCAATCTCTGGACCAAATTAAAAAACTGTATTTACCAAAGCCTTGGCAAAAAGACTATTAATTATCAGATTTCCATATTGTTTTTTGTGTTCTTCTATATTATACCATATTGAATTATTTTTACTGATATTCCAGCAACATCAGGTTAAATTCCCACCATGTCACTAAAACTGTATTTAGTTATATACGTTATATACTTAATTAGATAGTTTTGTATAGATCTTTTACACATGACAAAATTAGCTTTTAAATCCTGTACTCAAGAAAACTGATAGAATGCTACTCACTACTGATGTGAAGCGTAACCACACTTCTGTTTCTTCCAGCGATAAATGTGTATTCCCCAGCATCACTGCGATACGTTTCCGTAATGGTCAAACGATGAACTTTCCTAATTGCAACATAGTGGAACCTGTCCTCCGGTGAAAACTTGATCTCCTCTCCATTTCTGAGCCAGCGTCCATCAACATCATCCTCGTTGACTTCAAACTCTAAGGTTGCCCTATGCTTCTCAACCACCTAAAAATATTAAATTAAATGAAGAACATTTGTACATATAATTAACACTATAAAGCACTTAATTACTGGCTTAATTAAGGTATAAGGTTTAACATATTTACGGTGATTTCTTTCTCCATGGGTTCAGTGATCCGAACGTCACGACCCTCCACAGTAAGATGAGCTTTGGAGGTGCTAGAACCAGCAACTACACAGTATTCTCCAGCATCAGATAAACGGACAGTCTGGATCATAAGACGATGCAAGTACTTCTCAGTGGAAACCTTGAATCTGGAAAAACAAATTGCAACATCATCTAAACAAAAGGATCAAAATTTCCACAAGTTACGCAACTGCCAGAAATATCTAGTTGCACCGAGCCAATTGTACATTACTCCCTTTCACAAACGGTTAGGTAGCCAAATCTATTAGTCTGATGCTTTTGTAACAGCAAAATGCAAGTAGATTTGTAGAAGTATGTTGTACCATAATATCCATCTATCTGTTGTCTACAGTAGGGGTGTAACGGTATACAGCATATTCTCGAACTGTTTGGTGTGCCTCCGAAGGTTCAATACACACATGAGACCCGCCTGACATTTTCCAATACGTACTGGCGCAGATATAAGACAAAAAAATCCATCTAAGAGAATCTTGGCCCATCTTATTTTCAAGAACCAGAATTTAAACATCATTATTAATCATCATAAACAAGAGCAGATGGCAAATTTACCCACCTCCTGGCTAAAGGTAGTCACATACTTTAAATATAATCAAAGTTGTTTCAGCAATACAACGTTGGACAACCCATTGTTGACAATAGGCTGACATATTGTAATGCCGTGGGGTTGGTCCGCAGCCAGCATGCTTTGAACCACATCTTACTTATCATTAAATGGTGTAAATGAATGTGTATTCCTGTACTTATGTTAACTGTAAATATCACAACTGTGTAATGTTTGCCGTGGAAGGTGTGCGTTTCGTTGGCATGTAACCATGAGTTTCATAAAAACTGTTGGTGTCCTTGTCTGTGCCACTTGTAGTATTAAACCGATAGTGGCTATTAATAATGATAACAATTTTAAGAGAGCTGTCATCTTTATTAAAATGAGTCGACCACTCACCACAATACCTCTTTTTGTCCCCTTTATGTGGGTCTGCTGCATCAAAAACATTCTGTCGGTCTTGAGTTGTAATATTGATTATCTATCAATCTACACTCACTGTGCTGCAATTTCCTGTGGTTGCTTTTTAACAGTGGTATGCTTAGCTTCACGTATATACTTGTTAAATAAAAACAAAGAACCTATAGGTTATCAAAGCTATGAAGCATCTTTAACGTAAATATTTTTCTCTCCTTCATTTCATACAGTAGAGACATAAACTAGGCCTAGTTAGTCATGCTGCCACTTTTCTGAAAGGAGAGTGGCAATATAGAGTTAGATGTTTAATTAAAGGGTGATGCGTTTTTATTTTCTTCTTTTTTATTTTATTTACCATGATGCATACCGAACTGTAGGAAAACTGTACCGTTACACCCCTAGTCCATACTTGTATAATGACAACCACCATATATTCATTTTCCTCCATAACCATAAACATAGTTTATGTTGTTATGGAATTTGTCAAGAAATCTGAAAAACTGAATATGTTATCATGTTTATAGAAGTGATCATGTTTATAGAATAAATTCCATTAAAAAATACAGAAGTTTGAAAGTAATCTACCTGTCAGATATTTCCAGTTCTTGCCCGTCTTTCATCCACGTCACTGGTATGTTAGGTTCAGAGACTTCGCATTCAAATATAGCCTTCTTTTTCTCAGTTACTTTAATGTCTTTTATGTGTTTTGTAAATTGAATAACACGAGCTGAAATATAAAAACATAGTATTCACCATCCAGCAAACCACAAAATGACTCTGTGAAAGATATGAAGCATTTCAAGTACACTTACCATCAACATATAAATTAGCTGATGTCGCTGCAGATCCAGCAACAAACTGATATTCTCCACCATCTCCAAAGTGTACATTTCGAATGGTCAAAGAGTGAGTAAGTTGTTTAGAACGAATCTGACATCTTTCTGTAGAACGAATCTCTACACCATTCTTTAGCCATTTGTAAGATATTCCCTCATAGTTCACAGTCACTTCAAAAGTGATTGTGTCTTTCTCCTGAGCATTAAGGTCTTTCAGCATCGATGTGATTAAAATAGCTGATGAAAGAGAAAATGTTCCATTTAGCATTAATTAATATATGTTTTGAATTCAGAATAAAAGATAAGTAAAAACACAAAAAGTCTTACGATTGACAGTCAAAGTGGCAGAAACCCTGTCATTTCCACAGATGAAGATATATTCTGCAGAATCTTCTCTGCTGGTGTTCATTATTTTGAGCTGGTGGAGTTTCCCCTGCACTACAATTCTGAACTTCTCACTCATCTCAATCTCAACTCCATTTTTCAGCCAAGTAGATGGTACATTGAAGTGTGAAACTTCACATTCAAAGGTGGCCACTTGGGTTTCAGGTACCTCAATGTTCTTCATCATTTTTGTAATATGTAAAGCTGAAAATGTGATGTAAAAATTTGCATGTAATAAATCAAAATAGTATATACACATTTCATAATTAAAGCCCACATGATATGAAGCAAAATGCGCATAAAGTACTCCAAATATGATCTTACATTCCACAAATAATGATGCACTGCATTGCAAATGTCCAACTATAGCAGTGTATTGTCCAGCGTCATGTGTGTCCACATTTTGAATGATCAGCTTGTGAGCCTTCCTCTCAGAGAGAATCTTACAGTTTTCACTTGGCTTAACCTCAGCATTGTTGAACATCCATTTCACTGGGATGTTGTCATGGGACAAACTTAGCTCAAAGGAAGCTGTAGCATTCCGAAGAGATGTCACATCCTTGGGTTTCTTCACAATCTTTATCGCTAAAAACAGACAAATATGTCTCAGTACAAATACATATTATACACATGCACTCAGTAATTCTAAGGAACATCAAAACTTATATGTATTCAAACTATAAATGTATATATTTACTGTACTTACTTTCCACATTTAGTCTGGCATTTGCTGACAGCTTTCCAAGCTTGAATGCATAAACCGACTCATCTTGTGCTGTGCAGTTCTTGATCTTGAGTGTGTGCACCATGCCATCTACTTGGATCTCATATTTATCACTGGGGGTAATCTCCACACCATTCTTGATCCACTGAGCACCCTTCACATGTTCTAGTGTAAGTTCAAGACTGAAAACTGCATCCTGGGTCTCAGTGATAGTCTGGTTTTTTAATGTCTTCTTAATTTTCACAGCTTTTGAATACAATGTTAAAATACAGTCAGGGCACTTACATAATCTTTCATTTAATGATAATGGAGTAGAAAATAAATAGCATTTAATAAAATTGATCTAAAAATAAATTATGGTACCTTCAACTTTCAAGTTTGCTGTTGTCTTGGAGTTTGCCACCTGGTAAGTGTATTCCCCAATGTCCTGAGGCCTACTGATAACGATGATAATCTTCCTAATAGCCCCAAAATCTTTGCTTTTGATGTTGTTGCTGAACTGTAAAAGTTTGCCATCCTTTAACCATTTTCCCTCAATGCTGGGGTTTGCTACCTCACACTCCATCTCAGCAGTCTGTGACTCTGCTACAGTGACATCTTGGAGAGGTCGTTTAATTGCACCACCTGAAAAGGTTTTTTATTATTATTATTATTATTTAATTTGAATTAAGTACGGATATCAGGCAATATTTTATAACAAGGAGCTAAAGTCAGGTGACAATAACATTCATTCATTTCAGATGTGCCCTATAACTAATCATTAATAAGCTTAAATTCTTTTTTGGCCAGCCCCCCATACCCATTGAAGAACTTTCCATGCTCCATTACCTCTTCTCTTTTCTCGTGTTTCTCCTTATGTTGATGACATAATGTTTCCATTCCACACCGCAATTTTTGCTAAATCTTCCCTCCCATTCTCAAGTACAGTTCCCATTTCTACCACCTATCCCTATGTTCTCTTCCCTAAACAGCCCGGAACAAGTCTTGCAAATATTAATGCACAAAGATACTAAGGATATTTAAGAATGAGCAAATATAAATTATTAGGCCAATATTTAAAATGTTATTGAAATATTATTAGCGAAAGGGACCTAACATCTTACTAAAATGTCTAAGATTTACTGCTCGAAGTGCCTAGAGTCATTCATCAGTGCATTTAATCTATGATTAAATGTTGGTTACAAAAAACAAAAGATAGACATACCTGACACCGTAAGTTTTGCGCTAGAAGTCATTTCACCAGCTGCAAATGTGTACTGCCCCTCCTCGTCTTTCATGGTGTTTATGACAGTCAGAAGGTAACGCTTGCCCTTAGCCTCCATCCTGTATTTGGCATCAAGTATGAGAGGCTGATTTTTGAAGCTCCATACTGGATCAATACCAGGGTGAGATAACTCCACCTCAAAAGTGACGTTCTGGGTTTCAGGGCATATTTGATCTTCCATATGCTTTATAATGTGAACCCCTTAAAAATGGCAAAATCACAAGTGCAAAATCACACTCACCAGAGATGTCACTAACAGATTTTATGCTATATACTACATGACTTGTAAAAATGCTTACGTTCAATTGTCATATTGCAACTGGACTCAGCTTTTCCAACAACAAGCTTATAGCATCCTTCATCAGAGGCAAAGGTTCTGTCGAAGACCAAACGTTGTTTGTACCCCTTAGCTACAAACTGAACCCTCTCACTAGGCATCATCAGTTTGTCATTGTGATACCACTTCACTGAAGTGATATCAGCAGATGATATTTTAGCTTCAAGCACAGCTTTAGTGGACTCAACCGAGGTTACATCTTTCAGAGGCGTCAAAATACTAATGGCTAAAGGGAAAAAAAATAATAATTGTTTACATGTTTACTTACATAAAAAAAATAAATGCTTAAAATCAAAGAGGTAAAACAACTGAATGTATTTCTGAAACACACACATACCCACACACTCACACTTACTCTGAACTGTCAGCTTTCCAGAAGTTGTTAAGTAATGAGCTGGAACAAAAAAGGAGTACATCCCAGCATCGCTCCCCTGGGCATCTTCAATAAGAAGCCTGTGGGTGAGTTTGTCAGTCACCATATGTATGTGGTCAGTGGCCAAGATGGCTTGACCATTCCGCATCCATTTGCCTTCAACATTTTCCTGAGAGAACTTAACCTCCATTTGGGCTATGTCACCTTCACAAATGGTCAGGTCTGCAAGACCTTGCACCAGAGTCACTGGGCGTACTACATGGGGAAAAAAAGAAGAAATTTATACTGAATGCCAGTGTTGGGTGGTATACTGGTTCATACCGAAAACCATTTTTTATTATTGTATTTATTATTGTTATTGTTTATTACTCTTATATCGCAATGCCGGTTTAAATAGCCTACACAATGTTCAGAAAGTGGCGCAGCTGGAAACTGTTTAAGAGGGGACCTTTTTCACTGCTGCATCGCTAAAAATGTACCGCAAAAGATCAGAAACGGAAGATATAGCTGACACTGGAGTTAATGGTACCAACAGTGCAGTTTCCGCCTCATTCGCCACACTTCACGCAGCACCACTACAGCGCACGCATGCACACTCATTCGCGCAGCCCCTCTCCTCCTCTCAATAGCCGCTGAACACATTTGCGCTGATTAACACACACATAGCCTCTATGCAAACAGTGCTACAAAGTTGTGGCGCAAATGTCAAGTAGCGCATCAAACTTGGCGAAGCATCTTAAAGACCGACATCCCGGTCTTTATGAGAAATTTCGCAAGGTCAGTAAAGCTTGCGTTCCAGCAACACAGAACTGTTAAACACCTATCAAAAATGTTACCTTAGCCGGCGCACACCTTAACATTAGTTGTTTATCTATAAGCAGTTAGCCAACAAACACGTTAGCCATATGTTATCATTAAGGTAGCAGATAGGCGCAATGGCTAATAAAAAAATAATATAGTTAATGTGGGAGCAATGCAAAAATGTAAAACAAAAATGTGTCCTGTAAAATGTAGTAAACTCCCAGTCATAGTCATAAAAAATACCGTTGTATACCATAAAACCGATATAACTTTGAAAAAATACCGTGATATAAATTTTTGGTCCTACTGCCCAGCTCTACTGAATGCCCAACGTTGTTTGACATTCTGAATAGTATAATGCATTAAGTATATTTTCCAAAGTCACTGATTGCACAAGCACTCCTACGTATATCATATTTTAGATGCATAACGTATGTAGATGCATAAACACTAACATTTCATCTTCAAGGAAGCAGTTGTCTTTAGGTCACCAACAAGAAAGCTGTATTTCCCCTGGTCCTCCTTTTTGATATCTCTGACAGAGAGAGAGTGACGTCCACGGCGGGAGGAGATTATATATTTGCTGCTTGGAGAGATCTCTCTGCCCTCAAAGTACCAAGTACCCTCAGCATCCTCACGAGACACTTCACACTCAAACTCTCCAGAGTAGGTCTCAGGAACTTCAATATTCTCCAATTCTGCAAGTATAACCAATGGAGCACCTGAGAAGAAAAGGAAGATCATTTACAGTATAATTGTTCATTTATTCATGGTAAGGACCATTTGATTTCATGTGTATCTTGAGAGAATAATGATGACTTACCCTCCACAGTAAGTCTGGCAGTAGTTCTGATATGGTCGTCATCCACGAGACAACAACTGTAGTCTGCAATGTCCTTCATTTCAATTATCAGTACAGAGAGGAAGTGTACGTTTCTGTCTGAGTGCATTCTGTACTTGTCTCCAGAAAAAATCTCGACATTGTTCTTCAACCATTTAACTTTCACAAAAGGCTCACTGGTTTCACACTCAAATGTCACCATGGTGTCTTTCTCTTTGGCATTGGCATCTTCAAGTTCTTGAGTAAAGGAAACTATTTGCTTGACTGAAACAAATGAAATATTACAGAAAAAATAGCATATGTATTAAATTGTAGAAACAAAATAACTTAAGAATCTATTAGTACTATTACAAATAATTAATAAATCACCTTGAACCAACAGAAATGCGTGACTTGAAGCTTCTCCAGCAACATTGACAGCTTTGACCATAATGCTAGCAGAATCTTCAATTGAGATGTCTCTGATTACTAATTCACATAAATTATCTTCAGGCCAGTACCAGAAAATACGGTCTGACTTCTCTAGAAGAATGCCATTTTTGAACCACTGGCATTCTGGGTCAGGTTTGCCTATCACTCTGACACGGAAATGAACTTCATCAGCTAGGGAAACAGTCTGACTTTGAATGCGTTCCAATATCTTAGGAGCTTCCATGCTGGGTGAAAGTTCTATTCTCTCTGGTTTAATTGTTGGAATAGTCACTTTGCCTCTTTCTTCTTCCATTTTTTTCTCCTTATCAGAGATTTCTTTGATCCAATGTAGAAGTTCCTCTTTCTTCTTCCTCAGCATGTCCTCATAGGACTCATCTTTCCTTCGAGACTTGAGCTCTACAGCAGTTATTGCTTCATAGTAACCCTCTTCCGTCCGGCGTTTAAACTTACTTCTCAGTTCCTCTGACTCTTCTGTAGATATCTCATGAACAACTCGTTCAGCCTTTCTCAGTTTAACTATCTCTTTTGGTTGAGTTGTGTCAGCAGGTTTGTCTACCTTTTGAACTTCAAAAGACACTCTACCACGATCTGGGGAAGTGCCAGATTCGGGGGCCTTTAGCTCAGGAGCACGCCGCAGGATGGACCTAAAATCCTCTCTCTGCTGGATTTCAAATTTCACACAATGCTCAATCACACCTTCTGGGTTCTCTGCTATAAGTTTTACCTCTCCAGCATCGTAAAATTTACTATCAATAATTTCAAGGTAATAAATACCATCATAACGAAGCCTGAACCTCTTACTCTTTCGGATGAGCTGTCCATTTAGGTACCAGTTGACCTTTGGTGTGGGGTAACCAGTCACTCGGCAGCGGAATCTGGCTGTGTCACCTTCTAGGACCCGTACAGGCTCAGGAAGCAGTACAATCTCAGGCTTAGTTTTCTCAAATATTTCTTCTGCTGTTACACCTGCAAGGGCACCTTCATGTGCCATGCGCTCCATCTCCTCAATCCTTTGCATTCCTTTCCTACCCTCTGGCAACTGAGTTTCTTCCACTAGGCCTTTCTCATCCTTCACAATTAGGGTAGCAGAAGTCTGGTCAACTCCAAACTTATTTGTTGCCCTGCAGGTGACAACACCACTATCTCGTGAGTAAGCAACTTCATAATCAAGACTGCAATAGCCAAATTCATTGATCATACGCAGCCTGTTGGCAGCCTCCAAGGGTTTGCCATCATGCAACCATTCAACCACCATTGTGGGGTCACCAATAGGTGTCAGTCTGCATTCAAAATGTACTGGACCAAAACGCTTTAGCCTGACTGATGTGACTTTCTTCTTGAAATGTGGTTTCTGCTGTTTCTCCTTATCATACAGGTCACCTTCTTCCCACTGTTCTTGACCATAGCGAAGATGCAGGGGCTCCAACTCTGGAGCTGCAATCTCCTTTGCCTTATATGTTCCTTTTGGGATGATGAGCTTCCTCTCTGGCTCTGGTTCAGCAAATTCTACCTCTACATTGACTCTGCAGCGAGTGGTATCTCTTCCAGCCTTGTTGATAGCTGTAGCTGTGTACCAGGCACTGTCAGTACCAGTAGCTGAAGAAATCTTAAACTGAGCATCTCCCTTAGCGCCTTCAATTCTGTAATAGAGAATTAAAAAAAATAAAATAGACATACCTGTGGTTATTGAGTTACTTTACACAGACAAAATATCAATAAAACACAGGTTTGAATGTATAACAAAATCTATGAAAGATGGGATATACTGTCCAATAAAGCAATGTACCTAATATGAGGATGTTTTTGTGGGGAAATGATGTCACTGTTCTTCAACCACACAATGTCAGGAAGAGGATTTCCAATAGCTTTGACAGCTAACTCAACCAAAGTTCCTTCCTTAACACTAATGTTCTTCAGCTTCTCAATAAACTGAGGTCTCACCAAGTTTTCCTTAGCTGTGAAATCCAATGCAAAATATCAGCATTAGAGGAAATGGACAAAAAACAGAGAATGACAGCCTGTACTGTTTTGTTGCTCCAAAAATATGTATGGATTTCACATAATCCACTGAAAAATAATTTAAAGTCATATCATACCATCAACAGTCAGAGTCATGGACACAGATGTTTTTCCAGCTCTGTTCTGAGCTACAACAGTCCACTCTCCAGAGTCATGAGGCATAGCTGGGACAACAATCAGTGACTGAGTTCCGTCTTCCTTTACCACTATCTTATGGGTGTAGTCACTGACTACTTGTTGGCCTATAAAGTTAAGTGCAAAAAGCAACATTAAATTCACTCATTTGTAAATGCACACATACATTTTCAGATGCAAAATATTTACATATACTAAGTTTTTTGTACAGATGTGTACACATGTACTGTGTGGGTTTATATATATTATGATTGTCCCTTACCATTATGGAACCAAAAAGTCTCAGGCATAGGTCTGCCAACAACCTTCAGGTCAAATCTGGCTGTTTGCCCTTCCAAACATTTGAAAGAGGATGGTTTCACAACAAACACAGGCTTGTAGAGTCTTTCTAACTGACTCTCATCTGTGTCATCTAGTCTTCGTGCGGGAGAGCGACCAGGAGAACGTCCAGGAGACCGGCTCAAAGAGCGAGGGGAAGTAGAACTAAGAGAACACAAAATCACAGCTATCAATAAATACTCAGTAATTAAATGAAAGCAAAAATCCAATCAGAAAATTCAGCAATAAAATACAGTTAGGTCAAACAAGAGGCAAAATGGAAATATATAACCTTGGCACCCAAATGTAATGCCACATATTACAAAATTTAAACTAAGTTGAAATCAGTGGTTAAGAACAATCATACCATAGTCAACCCAACTCTTTCCAAACCAAATAACATTAGTGAAATACAGCTAGAACTGACCTTATTCTCCTGATTGCATCTGGTTGAGGATAATATGGCTGAGCTCCAGCTGTGGTTGCAGGCTCCACATATAATTTGCCTGAACTGACAGCATTTCCCTTCATGTTACTTGCAAAGGCAGTATAGACACCTTCATCTTCTGGCAATAGAACAGGAATCCGGAGACTAGCTCTCCCATCCTGCAGAACCTCCATCTGATAACGGCCACCATGCTTGATGCGTTTGCCGTCTTTGTACCAGGCAATCTTTCAAGATGAAAATGAAGGGAAATACAGAATGGAATTCTACAGCAAATAGTGCATTAACAAACATGATATCATAATACCATTCTGTATTTGGATACTACAGTTTAGCAAATGTTGAAAGATGGCAAGATTCCAGCTTACCTTAGGAAGTGGGTTTCCTCCTACTTTGCAGTGAAAAGTGACCCCCATCGCTTCCAAAATCCTGTAGCTTTTCACAGCCGTGCTGAAAGCTGGTTCCACAGCTTCATGTTCAGCCACAGTCATAACCATCTTTTCCCCATCTTCAGTCACCAATTCCTGGTAGGTAATTCTCATGATACGAAATTCAATCTCTTGGATTATTCTCTCCTCCAAAGCAGTAATCTGGAATTCCTATGAATGGAATAGATTAATTTTCAATAACTGCTTCTTAACTATTGATTCAATAATAATATAATAAAATATTCAATATCACACATAGCTGCACACACAAGCACTCAGCACCTGTTCTGTTATAAAAGTCTTCATCATTTGGGTCTGTTGAGCCATCCTCTTCTCATATTCACTAATAATTAGTGGAGGGACATCTGCTATTTTGGGTTCTTGCACCATTGTAGTCACTTCAGTTTTGAAAGTAATTTCCTGCATCTTCATGTAGGTTTCATATTCCTCTGAAAAACATAATGATTTTTATGTGGACAGTAGCAAAACTTTAAGTTTAGAATGATTTTGGTACAAAAAAAAATAGCTGCACAAGAAAGCTGAAAAAGTGGTGTATTTTATATAATTTACCTTCTTCAAGTAAACTGGCTGAAGCTGAAACTTCTCCTAGTCGATTTCTGGCAAAGATAGTGTATTCTCCTGCATCATCAGCGAAAGTCATGGAGATCTCCAGTTTGCATTCTCCACTGTCCTTATTGTAGGCCACTCTGTATCTAAGGAGTGAGAATTAAATACATTAAAAAGATGTTTAATCTAACCTAATATTGTTAAACCTTTGGCAATGTTGACAGTTTAATACCTATATCCAGTAGTAAGGGGAACTCCAGCCTTCTTCCAATAAATATGAGGCTTGGGACTGCCACCAATCTGACACTCAAAGATGACACACCCGCCTTCAACTAGTTTCTGGACTGATGGCTTCTTCACAAAGAATGGTGCCATGGCCTCTGCACCAGCTACTTCTATTTCTTCTCTCGCTTCAATGGTTATTCTACAGGAAAGAATTCATAACTTACATTTTATTATGTTCCTTAGTTATAATTCTGGTTTATTTAATTTCATAACCATAATAGTGTGAAATATAAGTTTACTTACTGTTTCTCTTCTGCCCTTTCTATATGTGCAGAGATAGCAGTTATCTCTTCTCTACTCTCAATTTCTTCTGAAACTGGGAAGAAAAACCACGTGACATCAACAATTATGAACCTACATGAAAATACAAAGATGAGATTAGTTGTTTGCTTTTTACCTTTCACAAGTAGGTAGCAGGAGGTGCTGACAGTTCCAGCCTGATTGGTAGCTGTGCAAGTAAAACGACCACTGTCCTCTGCAAAAGCTTCACGGATAACCAAACGAGTATATCCTTTCTCATAAGTGATTTGGAAGTCAATGGAGCTCTCAATCCTATAGTCTTCTCTAAACCACATAATTGTCGGGGTCGGGTGACCTGATATCTGGCACTCCAAAGTCACAGATTCTCCTTCAGTGACAGTTACATTTTTCAAACCCTGAAAATGACAAAAAGATACATTTTGCTAGTTTGTTCATTAATATGGAAAAAAGACATGCTGACATTTATAGTATAAAAATACTTACAGCAACAAGAGTAGGAGGAACCACAGCCTCTTCTGCTGGTGTGGGGATTGCTGCAGCCTCAACAGCCTGTAAAATATATATAATTTTTTGTCAACTCAATATATTAATTAATAATACCATTTTTAAGTACTGATATAGAGAAAAACTGATGGAGGACAAAGGAAGTGGAATGGGTAAGAATTCCTGAAATGAAAGCAGATTTGGCAGCACAATTTACAGTAAAAGCAGGATGTGGGGGGATTGTTTGCAAGCAGTTGGGGTCCATGAGAAGGGGAAAGGACTGGTGGAGAACTGTGAGGAAGGAGCAGTTATTGAGGCCAAGGAACACAAAAAACACAAAATGTTAAAGTGAATTATTAGATTCAGCAGCCTGTACCACAAACCTGTTTCTCCCACTGTTCAAGTATTTGCTCCATGCCCCCTGTAAAAGAAGTGCCTATCTCTGTCTGTGAGAGAGTGCCAAAATGCATTTGAAATCTTTCACTGGTATCTTTATAAGGTGATGAGGTTGGCTCTTGCTTTGTTTTCATCTCCACAATCTTATGAGAAGGAGGCTTCACAGGCCTGATGATCTTTTGAGTAGCAGAAGTAGAAGATAGTTCTTTCTGCAGTGAAGCAATAGCAGAACCTGCTATCGAAACCTGACCAAGAAGGATAATTACAGCTGAAATCAAAATCAACTTGTCATCAAACTCGTAGATGCAAAAAAATCAGGTTAGAGAGGATTCAAAATGGTTTAACCAAGTGAAGATAATTGGATTGTTAGTATGAGTGATATAACCAATGAGTAAAGAATAACTAAATACGATAAAGTTTATATGGATAATTACAGTAACAACTTTTTAGCATCCAGTGAAACTGCAAATGGCTCACTGAGCATCTAGCTGACAAAAAAGTTTTCGTCAGGCAAGCAGGAACCTATACTTAAGGAACTTTTTCATTGCCCAAAAAAGGCCACAATATGGCACCTGCTAAATTGTGGAAATAGCTGAGCACATGGGTCTATCGGTCACTTTGACTTTGAAGCATAGGAAGCAATTTAACATGGCTGCTGGTACTACATAAAACAGAGTTTCTTTTCTGAAGACAGTTGATTAAATTTAGGGTTTCTGAAGTTTTGAGATTATGGATTCTAATTATAACTATACAAAACTCATGAATGGATGGATGGGTTATGCAAGAAACTGATATTGTTGTCTTAGTATTTCTGATATCAAAATAGGCTTCACTGCTTGCCTGATAGTCCTCATGCTTACCTCATAGCTATGGTCAGGTTTAGGAACAGTAACTTTAGAAACAGTGAAATGCGGTATTGGAGATGGTGCAAGCGAGGTGTCCACATGAGTTGTTGTAGTTTCTGTACTTCTTTGGATCTACAGTGACCAACAGATTACAGGTTGAGGTATGACAAGCAAAAACGTATTCCTGTGTTGAGACAATAATGTTTTTCAAAAAGATATCTAACCTGTGAAACCTGAACCCTATGTTCATCGGAAGCAATTTGAGAGGAACTGGGAATTTGTAGCGCTTCGGTTTTCATGGTCATGGTAATCATTTTAGAAGCTTGAGTGTCCAGAGCCTGCCGTTTTAAGTCAGGCTCTAAGATCTCCTCTTCTGCGTGGCCCTCCTCTGCCTGTGCAGGCTTTCGAATGCGTGCTAGGTCAACTGCAGCAAGGACTGTGGCCACTGCCTCTGCCTTTTTTCCACCTTCAGCCTAAGGACAACATTTGTATTCCAGAGCACACGTTACCCATAGCGGAGCGTGCAGAAACATAAAATTTAATATTCTAATTAAAGCATCTTACTGAGTGAGAGCTGCAGTGTTAGCAGGTCGATAAGTAATTCTACTTACACTCGTTAAACACTGCACACCACAATATAGTTAGACCACAATTATCGGATGAGGGGTTAACTAATAAATGGTTATCACTATGCCAAACTAAACCTGACTGCTGGTCTGTTGATCTGAATGTCATAATACTTTCTCCTGAAGTGCATTTGCTGTATTCACACTTATTGTTTGTCAGCTGCAAAAGAATGTTGTTTAATGCAACAACAATGTGACAGAAATTGGATTTTAAAACTAATATTTATGATAAATCTATCTTAGCCTATAGGAATCTTGAAAGTGTTAAAATAAAAAGAAAAATGTAAAAAGCAAACTTTGCATTTCCTATTGGTCTCCCCTCCTTCAGATTGACCCCACTGTCATACATATTTATCAAGTTAACTGTAGTTTTGATCATTTATGCACATAAAGTTCCACAGTGATGATGCCAATGTAATAAATAAATACTAATGTGGTAATTGAAATGATATATATATTTCAGTCAATGACTATCGGGATACTGTGATCAATATGAATGTTCTAAAGAAATTACTACCTGAAAACAAGAACAATGGTAACTCTTAAGAACAAAAGTTAATAGTAACAAAGCAGAATTTTAATTGGAATTAAACTAGTGTGTTCCAAACAAAAAAAAGTATCTTTGATTATATAATAAAAGTCAAATTTCAGAGAGTTAGGAAATAAGGCCGCGTGCCCTCTGTTGGAACACTTTAGCTCTTGACATTATGTTGCATATCTCTTCACTAGTTGGACCAGTTAAAACTCTCCTAGCAGCAAATGGGGTGCATCTGTATTCCACTAAGTAACGCAAGATATAATGAAGAACTTTACTAACTTATCATATATCCAGTTAGAACTGGTAGGAATAAGTGTATCAAAACTTTTTTACACTCTAAAAAATTTGAAAATATACTGATAGGTCTGTATTCAAGGATATGAAATGGTTTTGAAGCCATAAGACATGCAGCACAGCACATTATGTCACAGGTTGGTCTAAAACATCTAGGTGAAGAAAATGAATGTTGAAATTAATAGAATATAATTCCAGGGTCAAGAGAGCTAGAGTATTATTTCTGTGTCAGAGGTTGAAGCCTCTCCGAAAGTGCTTTTAACTTCGGTTCCATCTTTTATGATCTTGAGTATTGATTTCAGTTGCCTCAAGCTTTGTCTATATGTACTTGGATAAAAATAGAGATTTAAAAAATTTTCAAATAAGATATCATTTTAAAATAATATGGTAAGTATTAGGGGTGTCATGATATACCACTATTGACTGTAACTGTGATATTTTAAAAAATAAATATTGACATTGAATTAATAGTACACATATGATAATACTGTAAATAATCCAACACCAGTAACTATCTGGTTCACGCTCCAACATAGTAGGTGGCGGTATTGCTCTTGAATGCTGGTTTCCACCCTCCAAAAAGCAGAAAAAGAATAAGACGACGCCACAACTAGCTAGCTAGCAGCTACTGTCACTACCAAATCTGTACCACTGGCCCGATTTGTAACTCACGTCTGTGCATGTAAAGCATTTTCGAGCATGCATACACCCCATTACATTTTCTATCATTGCCTAATCCGTTCATTCTGCCATTTTATGGTAAACCATATTGTTTATATTTAAAACAAACTACAGAAGATGCTTCATTGTTTAGCGACAACTGGTGTCAATGATTTTGCTGACTGAAAAAATTCTCTGCTTGTCATTTTAAGTGTTCACTCCAGTGGTCTTTTTCTAGTCTTTGGATCAACACTATTACTTAAATGTCCCAGATCTTAAATATTAGTTTATGGTCCCATCAGTTTCAATCGCTGCTACCCAGAAACATGGTATTTTGATGTACTTACATACACCAAACGTAAAATACTGTATGCTGTAAAGTGTAATGCTGCTTATGCACAGATGTGAGAGGTACAACACTATATGCTGTGTGGCCACTACTGCCGACCAAATTCATGTCTGCGGAAATGACAGACCAGAGCGGGACACTCTTCCCACACCCAAAAAGAACTGGTCAGTGTAGGGTTTTTTTGGATTTTGTATAAAAGACGGGGCATTAGAGACCCCAGTCTGCAGGAAGTCCAGATCAATAATAAGCACAAAAGGGGGCTTTAGCCCTGGTTGTCTTTTTGTATGCTTTTGTGTAGTGGTGGTTACAGACTGGCCACCTTATTTCACTCGTATTGTAAGTGGAATTCATTTGCCAAAAAAGAGACAAAACACACAATAAACAAATTTAGAGGTTAATTTGACATACCATCATTATTATTTTGTCCAAATATTCTGTAGATGCTGCGATAATATTGTTGTTATGAAGTCTTTTTGCCATAATAATCATGTAGTAAAAAAATCTAATATTGTGACAGCCCTACTAGGTATAAAGAAACCTATGAACATATTACTAAGAGTTGTAACGGGATGGAAACCTGGATGATTATTGGATGGTGATCAGATGTGAGCAAATTTTACATGTGAACTACCTGATCCTTTTTGGCTTCTAAGAGTAGACTTGTCCACTCAGAGCAAGGCTCTCGACTATGTGCCTGGTCCACTGCAGCCACCACTGTGCCTACTGCAGCCATTTTGTCACCCATATGCTTGTCCTAATAAATTAGCTAGATTAAAATCCAACGTTCAAATAAACTAAATCATTGTCATAGGCAGGAGCTCCCAACCCAACTACCCCTTTTCACCAAAACAGAGCCAAAAATAAATTTTATTAAATTATGTGAAGACAAATTTCCAGAATGCCTAGAAGTTGTGTCAACAGTCAACAAGAAGATTCTTCTTGATAAGAAAATCCAATAGCCTGCATTTCATTCAATGTTTTGAACCAAACATGCAGACATGTCAATAAGCCACCTAGGTTTCCTTACCTCTTTCGCTACAATCCCAGTTACTTGCTGCTGTACCCCATAGCCTTCCCACCGCTGCTCCATTTGCACTTGAGTGGTAGAGGTCTGGACACGTGAGGCACTGGCAATCATGCTAGTATAGCTGGATTCAGCTACATAATCTCCCTGCTTCCAGGGAGGGAGGACATCAGAGCCTGGCGTAATCTGCTTGCGGGTCATCAACGGAGATTTGACTGGTCTGATAGGGGAGACTGACAGCCTTGTAGAGGGAGACACTGACCTGTGAAAACAATCAGATGCAAAGAAACAGATAATCAAGTATGATTACTGGGGAAAGATTAAAGGGAAATTTATGCAAAAAAAATGAGATAAGTAAATTACCTGGTATGCTAAGTAAGATTTCAATAAGAAAAAGAAGCTGATAAAAAAGTATTGTACTTCAGATACAATACTTGCTCCAGATTTACCTTACAGGAGTTGGGGTAGGTGCTTTGACATGCCTCACAGGAGAAGGTGACTGTTGACGTGCGCCTGCAACTTTTGACACTAGTGAGGATGTTGGGGACTTTGAAGTTGGCTTTGGGGGCACAGATGGGGGAGCCTTGTGTAGCAGCTGCTGAGCAATGGCACCTTCATCCACATGGACTTCCATCATAGTGGTGGCTGTAGCCTGATAACGAGCTTCAGCTCTCTGTAAAAAAATTCTTTACTGTACTGGGTCTGAATTTCTTTATCAGTGTTTGACAATCTTTACTTTTCAAACCATACCTTCTCTACTCGTGTCTGTCGAGTCTGAGATATTTGAGCAGTGGAAATAACAGTCTTTGACTTCTTGGCAGGAATTGCTTCCTCTTCACCTGGATATTGAAAACGTACAACAAAGGATAATAATGAATAATAATACAATAATGTCAGAAATATTCTGAATAAATTAGAGTAATAAGTATATGCAACAGACCGAGAAAAGTAAAGTACATGCATTAGGAGTTCATATTAAAATGTTATATAAAAACATAAATAAATATTACCTTGAACCAGCAGTTCAGCAGTAGAAGTAGCACGCCCACTACTATTGGTAGCATTGACGGAGTATGTTCCAGAATCCTCAGGAAAGGCCTCAGCAATTAACAAACTGTAACGGTCTCCTTCTTGAACAATTTGAAAGTCAGCAGAGCTCTGAATCTCAGCTCCCTCCCTATAGAACTTCACCACAGGTGTAGGGATTCCTGTAACGCGTACATCCAATCTTACTCGGCTTCCTTGTCTCACAGTCATACTCTGTAATCTTTGAATGAAGTTTGGAGGTGCAGTTTCCACTGTAAAAACATTAGAGTTAAATCAATACTTTTTCTAAATACCACATTCTTGTATTATTTGTATCATAAACACTTTGGCTGATTTGGCTATTCTTACTAGCTGGCTATCTATTACATTTCATTACATTGAATATTCTAAGGTCTACGCAATCAAATAGAAGGTCATTCTTTCTAGTGGAGCACTGTTTTATGTCTAGATATGATTAATCTTACAGAAATCAAGATGAAATTATGGTTCTCCAAGCTAAGACCATGTTGCACTATTTCATATTACCATACTAATACTAATCTACTTCTATTTGCAACCACGGTTCTTAATCGTTCTCAAGCTATTGAATCACTGAATGAACATTAACTGCTCTTTATTTCAAACAGTTCAATAATATTTACTGATATAGGACAGCATGTTGATTCAATATATAGAACATTCCACTCATTTTCACCTGTAACAAGTAGTTCTGCGGTGCTAGTGGCTTGTCCGGCACCATTGGTGGCTCGTACAGAGAACCTTCCACTGTGTGCCGCTGTCACGGCGGGGATCATCAGAACAGCGCGGCCATCGCTGAACGAGATCTGTGCGCCGGGCAGAGTGGCAGCAGAAAGCACCTGGCCATCACGAAACCAGCTCACCTCAGGAACCGGAACACCTGTTTATATTAAATAATATTTTCAAAATCATACTCGTGTTTTTCACACATAGTACATTCAAAAAACATTGTTTTTTGTTTTATACATGTACTTTGCATATTTAGGTAAATATGAATACCCCTAGTAACTGTTCAGAGATTTGACACTGTAAATGCTCACTTACCACTAATTAGAGCCTCAAACGTTGCAGCACTACCCTCAAGTGCCACAACGCTTTGCAAGGGCTGTATAAATGTTGGTGCCTGCGTTGACATGGTGACTGGCACCCTACAGGGGGAAAAAGGATAAAATACAAAATATTAGTCATATTCTCTAACATTCTATTCAGTTAAAAAAAATTCAACAAGCCAATCGTTGTTTCTGAATTTGCTAATGACTGGGCAAAATCTACTAGCAGAAAAGCTATTTATAGGTCAAGATAAAAAAAGAAAAAAAGAAACAAATGACTTCTTTAGCACCCAAACACCTGGTCTTCTCTAGCCTGACACTGGGACCATGGGGTCTCATGTCAAGGAAAAACACTGATTGACAAATGACAGAGACTGCAATAACATAAATGTTTCATACTCAACAAGTATAAACCAAGCACAAAATTTTTATTTTAACCAATGACAAATACCAAAATTAAAGTGTGACACCTCATGTCTAAAAACTATTACTAAACCATTACAAAACTCATACAAATCAACTACAAAAACTGATAAATTCAGTGCTAATTACATAAAATTGTTACATGATAAGTCTCCAAAACTCCAGGAAAAGGTATTAAGATTCAAATCCACAATAAACAATAAGTGAAACTGACCAGACTATGACTCAGCAACTATAATTGTGAATCATTTATGATCTATACCCAGCCAGCAAAAGTTCTATGAAATTTAGCATTACAAAACAGAGCAATACTGCATAGCATATTTAATACTAATGTGTTACAACACAAGAAACAGCTAAAAATAATTAATGAAAGCCATTAACTTCTATTCTATTAAAATAAACAAGTATTTCAAATGCGTGGAATAAGATTTGTTATAATTACTGAACTTTAATAACATTTAGACCCATATTGCAAAACTATAGATATACCAGATAAATCAGTCAAAACAGCAAAGATTTAATTGGCCCTTAGGAAACTATTTTCAGAAATAAGTACATTCTCAACATTTTCAATGTCACTAGTTTGAAGAAAGTCATAAGATCAAAATATTACTTCATATTTAACAATAGATCATTCATATTGATACATAAACTTAGATTCTATTTCTGATACATGTTACATACATTCTCGTTTGAAGGAAAAAAAATATCATAATCTACTAAAAGTATAAAGTAAATCTATTTAAAAATCAATTAATTTACTATTGAGCATAATAATCCTAGTCATCTTTCTCAGACACTTTAACAAATTATCTGTTTAATATAAACATTGATAAATCATGTATAGTTACAACTGAAAACTGGGTATGAATTTCTGTATCAGTTAGTGCAACTAACCATAAACTGTAGTTTACATATAAAAGAATAACCAGTTCTGGAAAAAGCATAGAAAATCAGTCAAAATGCCATTTCATATTTTCCTATACAAACATACAATTTGTGTGTGAAATGTCAGTACCAACATGACATCATTTTAAGCTACAAATTTCTTATTAAGAAATGAATGGCCATATTTTAAAATAAAAAACATTATACCTTGCCTTTTCAGCATAAGCCATGAACTTGCTCATTTCAGTTAATTCAAGCAGCAAATAATAATCTCAATGCATGAGGCAAAGGTTATTTCTATTAGCACTTGAAATGAAAATGAAAGATAAGTTATACATTTCAGTACTTCAATTAAAGTTGTGCTATGCGAGAGGCCTGAAGCTATGTGACAGAAATGGCTAACTCCAAAAATAATCTTCCTGATGCTTGATTGACAGTCACCATGTGGCACATAGCTGGTGGTGCAACTGATATGCCTGCTGCTGATTCCCTTAAAAAGACATCACAGCCCAGCTGGGACACCAACCGAATGCTATCAGGGGCTATTCTTGGCAACTCCCAAATCACTCTTCTATATATTAACTTAAAACCATGACAATCAATGTTAATGCTTCTTGTTTGAAAGTATTTAAGTTACTTTCTCCCTTTTTGCTTAACTCCAGTCAAAACACTTTCCCCTTTACTGTATGCAAGATTCATATAAAAACTTTATTTACACAGTACTTCTCAGATTTTACGTTTCAAATTTGTCATTCATAAGATATGCTCGATCATTCCACATCAAAGTAGAATTTCACTGGCTCAATTTTATGGAGCAAAAGTTACTTACCTGTATTCACAAGGGTGCCAAAAAACTATGGGACTGGCCCCAGAAGGTTTTTATCTTCAGACAAAACCTTTATCCAGAAATGTTTTCAGAAAATCCAATGTGAGAACAGTTGAGCCTCAAAATTACCTAAAAACAAAACTACACAGGATTGCAGCCATGTAGTTTTGCTTTTGCTTAGCAATCCCTACACCCGAGGCAAGGCTGGGAATGCTCCACCTGCTCAGAAGTGTTAACACTGTTGTTTTACCATATATACCCCTAGACCATGGAGCATCATCACTACATCCTCTCTTCCCATTGGTCATTTCCTGGGGTTGAGGTATCATGGGATTGGTCTGCCATTTTATTCAACCACACAGCTGTCACTCATGCCTCTTATATGTACTGAAGCCAGTGTCCGACATGGAGAACCATTTCACTTGTGAAAAGGAAACCAGCACTTTTAAGTATCAAACAAATATACAAATTGTTTGTAAAAGCAGTTTCCCCTGACAATAAACCTTCACCTTACATCTTGGAAGAACTATTTTATTCTACTGACATACTTAAAGAGCTGTAGAGGTTTATTCAAAGTTAGAAAATTCTCTGTCATCAGCATTTGAAAATTAATTGTTCATATAATGGAAACCTTCCTCACACAAAAAAATCTTTCCTTTCACAAATACCTGCTTTTATTAAATGATTTCAGTGCCGCCTAAAAAACTGACCTGACATTAATCTGGATCAATATTAATGTTTTTAAGTATGCATATGTTTTATGTTTTTCAAGTATTTTTAAGAGATAATGGAAGCTGATATAGTGATGGGGAACTGACCAAAAGATTTTGCTATTGAACTTGACACATATAGTAAGTTATCAAATGCCTTATATTTCAAGTTGCTTATGCATAAGGCTTGTATGTGTATGCAACCCAACTATACCTGTGGCGATATTCCCAATGCCAGACATGTCCACTTGTTAGGGGCTGTACTTAGTGGTCTCACATTTTAAGTTGTGTCCCAAATGCAAGTGAGAAAGATAAAACTCCTGGTAACGTAACATATTGATCCAGAAAACTAATTATAATTGTAATGAGGGAAAAACCACCATAGCAAAAAGCAGTGATTTTATAAAGGATGTAAAACATTCTTCCATGAGACCAACATCAACTGTATGATGGTACAGCAGCAGCCCAGGTGAAAGGAGACCCTGCTGGCTTCTGGGATCAACTAGGCCTAAAATCATCACAAATAATTATGACTTGTTGTTACTTTTCACGCAAAGCACTGTAACAGCACATATATCAAACTTCTCACAAAAGACCTAATAGTATTTGATGTGGGAAAACAAATTAACATTAATATTAAAATATACATTGATATATTTTGCTCTACTCTATATAAATCATAATTAAACTTGCTGCCAACTGATCCATTGTAATGGTACACATATTCATTGTGTGCCATTTGGTTACATCATTTTCAGTTTGGTATACACAATGGTTTCCCAAACTGGTTTGACTGGGATAAAATAAGGCTGAGACCTTCAAAAAATGGTTCTGCTCATATACAGTGGAGGAAATAATTATTTGACCCCTCGCTGATTTTGTAAGTTTGTCAAATGACAAAGAAATTAAAAGTCTCAGAACAGTATCATTTCAATGGTCGGTTTATTTTAACAGTGACAGATAGCACATCAAAAGGAAAATTGAAAAAATAACTTTAAATAAAAGATAGAAACTGATTTGCATTTCATTGAGTGAAATAAGTATTTGAACCCCTACCAACCATTAAGAGTTCTGGCTCCCACAGAGTGGTTAGACACTCCTACTCAATTAGTCACCCTCATTAAAGACACCTGTCTTAACTAGTCACCTGTATAAAAGACACCTGTCCACAGAATCAATCAATCAAGCAGACTCCAAACTTTCCAACATGGGAAAGATCAAAGAGCTGTCCAAGGATGTCAGAGACAAAATTGTAGACCTGCACAAGGCTGGAATGGGCTACAAAACCATTAAAACTGTTGGTGCAATTGTTCGAAAATGGAAGGAGCACAAAATGACCATCAATCGACCTCGGTCTGGGGCTCCACGCAAGATCTCACCTCGTGGGGTGTCAATGATTCTGAGAAAGGTGAGAAATCATCCTAGAATTACAAGGGAGGAGTTAGTTGACCTCAAAGTAGCTGGGACCACAGTCACCAAGAAAATCATTGGAAATACATTACACTTCAATGTATTAAAATCCTGCAGTGCTCGCAAGGTCCCCCTGCTCAAGAAGGCACATGTGCAGGCCCGTCTGAAGTTTGCCAATGAACACCTGAATGATTCAGAGAGTGACTGGGAGAAGGTGCTGTGGTCAGATGAGACCAAAATTGAGCTCTTTGGCATTAACTCAACTCGCTGTGTTTGGAGGAAGAAAAATGCTGCCTATGACCCCCAAAACACTGTCCCCACCATCAAGCATGGAGGTGGAAACATTTTGTTTTGGGGGTGTTTTTCTGCTAAGGGCACAGGACAACTTCACCGCATCAACGGGAAAATGGACGGAGCCATGTATCATAAAATCCTGAGCGACAACCTCCTTCCCTCTGCCAGGAAACTGAAAATGGGTCGTGGATGGGTGTTCCAGCACGACAATGACCCAAAACATACAGCAAAGGCAACAAAGGAGTGGCTCAAGAAGAAGCACATTAAGGTCATGGAGTGGCCTAGTCAGTCTCCGGACCTTAATCCAATAGAAAACCTATGGAGGGAGCTGAAGCTCAAAGTTGCACAAAGACAGCCTCGAAACCTTAGTGATTTAGAGATGACCTGCAAAGAGGAGTGGACCAAAATTCCTCCTAAAATGTGCGCAAACTTGGTCATCAATTACAAGAAACGTTTGACCTCTGTGCTTGCAAACAAGGGTTTTGCCACTAAGTATTAAGTCTTTTTTGTTAGAGGGTTCAAATACTTATTTCACTCAATGAAAT